GTGACGTGTGGCGATTCCGTAGCATCAGGTAGCTGGTGAATCCAAACTCCTGGACCTCATCCAGAATCCTAAGCCAAACTGGATTGAACGATTGCCCGGAGCCGAGAACCTGAACACCCTACATCCTGTTTCACCCTTGCTTCCTCCCCCCCCCCCCCCCCCTGAACCAGAGCTGAGCATCCCTGAGCCGGAAGCGCAGGTCGGGCTCATAGACTGGAAGCTTCGGCAGGAGCGCACCCTTCAAGTCCGGACGAGGGTGGGAGCTGGGGCCTTTTTGGGCCCGGAGACTGAGTTTGAGGGTTTGGGAATTTGGGAGGAATTTGGGCTTGTCTGGCAGGATTGAGGGAGTGGCTTGACGATTCTGGCTGAGGAACGAGGTGGACCACGTTGAGGAATTCGTAGCCCGTGCGCCCGCTGGCCGTCCATTTCTTGTTGGTGTCCTTATCGTGCAAGCGGAAATCCGGCTTCTTCTGAAACTGAACCCACTCGCTCTTCTCCTGGATGGCGTCGCTTCCTTCAGCCAACTGTAAGCCCTCCATGCCAGGAGTCTTGTCCTTGTCCTTGTCTTTGTCCTTCTCCTTGCCCTTCTCCTCCTTTACCTCGACTGCCTCGACGGCAGCTTCGGGCAGACCCTTCTTGCCCTTGCCCTTGCCTTTGCCCTTGCCTTCCTTACCCTTGCCTTCCTTGCCTTTGCCCTCTCCCTTGCCTCCCTTGCCCTTGCCCTTGCCCTCGGGCGCTGCCAACGCCTTGGCCGAGGCCTTTGGTTCGGGCTTGCTGGGATCCGGCTTCACCGAGGGCACCACCACCTCCAGAACCGGCTCGCCCTTGAGCTGCTCCCCCAAGATGATGTTGCGCAGGCCGACGATGCTCACGGACACCAAGCAAGGCTTCCCGGGAGGCTTCATGAGCTTTGCAGGGAAGTCCGAGACATACTTCGTCCTCATCATCTCCAGGCCGATCATGATGTCACCGGCCCAGCCTGTTCCCATCACACCTCCCTTCAGCTTGAGCCAGCGCTGTCGCATCTTGTAGTTCGTCAGCGGATGGAGCAGCTTCCGAAAGTTGATCTTCTGCCGTCCGATCACGCGCCGGCCGCCCTTGACCTCCCCAAGTCGCTTGGCAGCCATCCTCACAAGCATGGCCGCAACACGAAGCACTTGTCAAAACTCCCTTGACGAGTGTTGAGGGGATCGCTTGCGAGGACCGACCTTTGAGGAGGCCTGTTATTAGAGATAATTAGCAGGCAAGGGTCACGTCGCCCATCATCGTGGCAAGAGCTTGGTCCTTGACGTAGCCAGTGTACTCTTCGCCAATCTTTGCCTTACAAGGCAGGTCGAGTTAGGCTGATGACATGAGTCTTCGAAGAATCTCTGAGGATCCGCTTGTAAGTGCAGCCCAGGGTACCAAATCCATTTCGGCAAGCCCGGCTTCGTCATTGAAGTCGAGCTTCCCATCTTTGTTGTTCAGCTGGCCAGCCATGGCGCTGTTTGCAAGCTGCTTGGCGCTATTTGCGACATCGGCCACCTTGTCCAACAACGACTTGCCAACCACGTCGTAGACGGTTAACCTTCCGCCGCAACACCGCAGAATTTATTGTTGCTGAGATTTGCTGAGACTTCAAACCTTTCGATCCCTGGACACTTCATCGTTTGTATGACTGTATGCCATGTGAAGCCAAGCTGCTGCACTGGCTCTGGATAGCAGCGCATGTTTTGCAGCGAGCACTGAAGGCCTTGGACTAACCATGTCTGCACATCTGTTGGTGAACTTGCGAGAGACACATCATGCCGATCATTGTCCTTGCTGAGGGGGTGCTGATGTCCAATGCCAGCATATCTGACCAATTGGGTGAAGATGTTTGCGGGATCACGGCAGTGCCTTAGCGACCATGCACGCTGAAGTGAAAGTCTTCGCAAGTCTTTCTGATAGTTGGCTGAGTGCGATGTAGCATAATGCTACAGCATGGCAATATTCAACTTCTTAAGCGCGACCAGAGACACGCTCTCGCTGTCCAGCGCAAGCGATCTCGCAGAAGGAGCTTGGCACGCGCGCACCCTCGCACTGCAGGTTTCGTGCCTGGCATCGTTGGCCACTCCAAGAAGCTGAATGCTGTCCAAGCACCCACTCCCTCTGACCTCGAGCCCAGACCCCAACGCGGATGAACCAGAGAACGCCGACGTTAGACCTCCGCACTAACCCCTCCACCCCCCTCTCCCCCACTACCTCCCCGATATTCCCAGACCCTCGAAGATTGTTCCCCAAACTCCCTAGGCTCTAGCAGTCCCACCATGCTGATGTAGCAGCGCAGGTGGAACTTCACGGGCTTGCAGTTTGGAACGCCCCGCGTGAGCACCGTCTCCCCCGACTTTGCGAAAGAGCAGAGGATCGAGCCTGAAGACTTCAGAAGCTTCCAGGGTAGCTTCGAGGGAGTGTTGAGGGACCCTTGAGGGTATTGAAAGTTTGGGCTGCTCCTGCTGTTCATACCTGAGTCTTCTGGGGCTCGTGATTCTTGCCCTCTTGCACTCAGAGTTGTGGTCGTTGTAAAAAACTGTTAGGAGAAATACGCAGAACGCGGAAGTGTAGGTGCTTATTCGTGTAGGTGCCCCGAAGCCTGGCTCCACGCTGCTTGGGAGGTGGGCCATATTGCTCATCGTGCACCAGAGAGGGGTCTGGGTGTCGCCATCCCAGTCCCGGACCTCGGCGACCTGCCAGGAACTTTTGATTTGCGCTTCTGGGTCCAGGGCTGTCGGTTCTGAGGGCGTAGGAGTCGCTGTGGCTTTCAGAGCTTAGTAGCAACTCCACCGTTCTGTTCCAGACACTGTTTGCTGTCGAACGTTGCTCCAGGGGGGGGGGCGGGGGGAAGGGAGAGGTTGATCATTTTGTGGAGCCTTTCTGGATCTCTGTCATAGTCGTAGTACATATTCCTTCATATAGGATTGTCAAAAAGTCCAGAGCCAGGCCTTTATCCTCGCGAAGCCAATCCGCTGCCAGTCTGTGTTGCCTGGGTGCCGGAGTAACCTAGGATTAAAGAAACTTATCTTTCTGGATGCTTTTTTTGGGCTGGGGAACCAATCGTCTGGGGAAGGGGGCAAAGGATGCCACTGCAGAGCCCAGTTACTCACGTAGCCAGTCACGCGCGAATACAGAGAGAGGATCACGTCCAGCTGCTCGGGAGGGTTTGTCGGAAGAACAGCCACCAAAGGCGTCATTCGCCCTTTGTCACCTTAGCTTCCGTCGGGCATATCTCCATAGCATAAGTTGTGTGATTGAGGACAAAATCTGACATGGCCCATGGTTTGGATCCATACTCTACGCAGATCTTCGTTCCCTTGACCCCACAACAGACTCTTTGGAATCAAATTCCAATTTACCTCAAACCTATGTGCCTGCGGATTGCTGGCAAGCACAACGCATGACATGACAAGGTCTGCAAAGCACAGGTTACGCAACAGCTTCGTAAAATCTCATACTGCTTATGCGCCATCGTGTACTTTTACTTTCTGCTGTAGACTCTACACCTTCAAGCTTGTGGTTTAGATCAACACACAAATGCTGTGTGTGCTGCAAGTCGTAGAACCTCCTCAACGCGAACCCCCTCGCCCCGATATAGGACACACCCCCAAGCCCCAAGGCCCTCAACCCCAAACTGGCCTTGAAAAATGAACCTTCCTGGCGTGGTCGGATCCTCCTCGGACTCCTTCGATCGCAGAGCAGTCTTTGTCTTCTTAGACTTGACGCCGACGGTCATCTCCAACATCACCTGAAGCTTTTTGGGTTTAGGGTTTTAGGGTATCGGGTTTAGGATTTAGGGTCTTTTGTTGGGTTTCACTCGGCTTCACGGCTCCAGGTCTTCTTTCTCTGCTTAGCTGCTTGCTCCTGAAGACCCCCCCCCCCCCCCCCCCCAAAAAAGCAAGAAACCCGCCTCGCTACCGGCACAGCCCGAGACTTCAAAGACGTCCATCAGGAAGTTCTCCACTTTGGAGGGCGGCTCTTCGCACGGACCGCCCCTGTGGCTTCTGGCGATGTTTCTCTTCTCGGGTTTAGGGTTTAGGGTCTAGGGTTTTTGGGGTTTAGGGTCTAGGGTCTAGGGTTTAGGGAACTTTGGCTCCCTAATCATCTTGAGGGGCCCTGGGATGGCTTGAGGAACTCCAACATGGAGCAATAAGAACTGCTAGAGCACCGAACATGAGCCCGAAGCCCCTGTAGGCCGCTAGGTCCCCTAAGCCCTCTACCCGAAGCCCTGAACCCTAAACCACTCAACCGCAGCTCCGAACTCCCTATGTTCAAGTCGGCTGCTTCCCTTCTACAGTCGCCTCAAGACGGCGGGAAGCTGAAGGGCAGAGATGGACTCCACCTGTTTCCAGCGAATTGCAAAAACTAATCCGGAGGCTCGGTTTATAGGATGCATGATCTAGGTTGTGCTTTAAACCCTTTGAAAAAACTATGAATCGGTTCCCCTGTTCAGGAAAGAAAGGAAATCAACAATCATCCCAAGCCACAGCCCAGTTACATACTATGTACTGCATATGATATCTTGCAGAGTCAATATTCCACATGGTATATGGCGTATTTTGTCTTGTATATTGAACATAAACTAGAAGCGATGCTTCACGGAGTTGGGGTGCTCAGGGCGGCTCCAAGAAGCTCCCATCTTTGGATTCTCCTCATCTAGAACTCAACATGGGCCTGGCAGAGGCCATGTGCTAGTTGATGACCATGCTGCTGTCAAAAAAACCCCTTATACTACCCTTAAGCCCACAGAAAAAGCCTACATCCTTTCCCAAGAGGGACCTTTACAACTCCCATGTCTCGAAAGGCAGAGGCATGGCCCGGACCTTGTTCACCCTTGCACTGATGAGCAGGCCTTGGCTTCCAGGCAGTTTAGGGTTTAGGTTTTAGGGCTGGGTTTAGGGTTTAGGGTCTAGGGTTTAGGGTTCAGGGTTTGGGGTTTAGAGTTTAGGGTTTGGGGTTTAGGGTTCGGGTTTGGGTTTTAGGGTTCAGGGTAGTATCCTATACAGACCTTGCAGACAAGGGGCGGCCCAAGTAAGCGTTTTCCTCTGCCATGTCGCCAGCGCTTGTTATCGCTTGCACATCCGGAACCTGCCACCCCCGCTAGAAGGCTTCTGATGGTGGCATATGGTTTAAATGTATATATGTATCTATGTTCATGTAGGTCATATGTGTGTGTGTGTGCGCGCCATATGTATGTATATATATATATATGTATATATATATATATATATATATTTATTTATTATACACTTGTCGTCTAGGACCTCGATGTCTCGTGCCCAGGCACCTCTTCACTTCTGAAGCCGTAGAAGTTAAACCATTTTGGTGAAAGCGCGTGCATGCCTCATCGCATCTTCTCAGTCGCAGGCAGGGTGCAGCGTTTAGGGTTTCCTGTATTCATGGCAGGGCCCGTTTCTCTTCGCCCTGCCCAGTGTGCATCTGAGGTCTCCGCGTAGCAACGAGAATGACAGACGGCCCTGCACGATGATCTCATCGCCCATCCACTTTGCAGAATCCCAGATTCTGATCACCTTCCAGGGGCTGAAGCAGATGTGCAGAGCAGAATGATGCGCACCGCATGCTGCTGCACCAACTGCTTGCCCGCAGAGTCGCAATCGAATCCTGGAATAGGGGCGTTGTGACCGGTATCCGGAATTGTTCGTCGAATGCCTCAGGCCACGGGCTCTTGAGACTCTGGGCTTCGACCACAGCCTCTCCTGAGAGGGTTCCTCAAGGCAGTACCATGGACATCTAGGTCATCAAGGATGTGGAATCCGAGCTGAAACTTCGGTCCTGTTCTGTTGGCGCAAGTTGAAAATTACCAGGTTCCGCTCTCGAAGCCAAGATGCCAATGTATGCGTGTCCCTAGCTGCTGGACTCCGCAACTCGTGGCCATTAAACTCAACCTCCAGTCAGCAAAACGTTTCGGGTCTCGGGCATAAGCCGTAGGGCCACAGGGTTTTAGGATGAACAGGGACTAGGCACTAAGACTCGAAGACGTTGGCGTGCTACTAGTGTGACTTCCTGAATGCCGTGGGTCGCTTGCAAGGGCATTGTCCGTGTCTGCATGTCTAAACTGGCAGCTGAGGCTCTGAGACGTAGGGATTGTACCTCACTTGCTCGGAAAGCTTGTATCATGAAGTCTCGAGCATTGAGCCCTCAGCACGAGGGCCCCCTCGGAACAACAAGCGGTACGCCCCTGATCCCCAAAACTTGAGGTCCCCAACATACAAGCCTGCAGAGTCATGCGAGCTGCGTCTTCTCACCACCACCCAGATGTTCAGCTCGGTGCACTTGCACGAAAAGATGATAGAATTGATCTCAGAGCCACAGGAGGAATACCGCCGTTGTCCAGCTTTCAGTGGTTTCAGGTCATGCTCGGAGGTTACAAGGATATTCGAAGCAATGCACGACACCGCCAGTGCACCCCTAGTACATGCCGCCCTGTCAGGTACACACAAAAGCAAGCTGAATCAATGCTGAACTTGCAGCTCGGAGTCTGAACTGGTTCTTATTTCCTGGCTGCGAATCGCAGTGCGCAGCCTACTATTCCAACAGCCTCTGGCCAAAGAAGTTTAGAATGAGAAGGTTGCTGCACTGCAGGAGAAACTGCTCCATGGGTCCTGCATCTCCGATCACGGCCGTCGTGAGGTCATTGAGATGTGCTTCCACCTCTTCCTGCGAGGCAGCAGGTTGGAGATCTTCCGAAGGCCCCACCCCGCCGCCCCCAACACCATGCGCGCCTTGTTGTCCTGTGCATCATCTGGAGCTGGCGGCTTGTCACCCTGCATAAAGAGCAGGATGTCTGGCTCCGAGTCAGCTCAAGATGGCAAAGGCACGGCACAATCAACCTCGAACCCAGTATCGGTTGTTCTAGCTCATGTTTTATTCCAGGCCTCCCCGTAGCAAAACACAGTGACCGTTAACTTTGAGGTCAGCTTGTGCTCCAGAGTCAGCTGGATCCTGTCGCATCAATGTTCGACTTCTCAGCTGCAGAACGCGCACACACACACACAAGGAAATCACGCGTGCTTTGCAGATGGGGCGCTGCTTCCGCACGTAAGTGTGATTGGGTCGCTGCCTGACCATGGCCAGCTGAACCTTACGATGCGAGCATGCACAAGTAAGACATGCAAGCAGGCCATCAAACAGCCTGGCCGTGGCGACTCAGGCAGGCACCTTTCCAGTGCCTAGCACGGTGTTCCTGGTGAAGATGTTGGCCGCCTAGGGCGGGGTTTCTTAGCTAGGGAAGTTTGTGATGTTGTGTGGTATTCGTGATGTTCTGCTGTATTAAGTATTCGGATGGACGAATGACAGCTCAGTGAGTACAGTATCAGCAGAGCCTGCACCGTGCGTGGGATCTCTTCACAAAGGAAGCGCGCGGGCCTGCAACTCAAACTCGATGCATGTCATGTTGAACTCCGACTCCGTTATGTAGAAGTCGTTCCAGATGTATGACCTGGAGTGGGACATGCAGAACCGAGCCCTCATCAAATGCACGGCCCAAGCTACGCAGAAAGAACTGCCTTACAGAGATATTTGCACTGCACAATCCCAGCTAGCTGATGGGTAAACTTGACTCGTGGACGTGTTGATTCGCGGACCTTTCCACACCCGCAGCCGAGACACTCTTCGAACTTGCAGTGCTGGATCTTTCCGCTCTTCATGGCGGTCTTGTACTCCTGCAGATCGGCATAGTTCGGGTTCAGGGTGCAGGGTATCCCCTGGTGACAGCTGTGGGCGATGACCACTGAGCTGACCCAATGTTTCCTACGAGTTCTGTCGGGCGGTCCTTCCCCAGGCATCGAACCACCTCAGCGAGACAAGAGGGCTCAGGGGTTAAAGATGGTTAGGGCACAAGTCGGTGCAAGTGATGCTGTTCCAGGTGCCTCATGCTCGCGCGCAAGTTCAGTCGGCTCTCAGTGTCAGCGACACTCTTGCTCTGGGCTACAGTGTACAGCAACTCCCGAGACCGACTTCAAGTCTGTGTGGGGCAAACAAACCGACTCCACTCAAATTCTCAAACCAAAACAGCCGAAAGCACTCTAACACGTTCGAGCCTGTATATAATGAGGGTTTCAATAAGGCTTCGCGTTGTCGGCAAGCGGCCACCAAAGGATCGACCGCTGTTCCGTCCTGCAACTGCCCACGGCTCGGGACAAAATCAATGACCTCTGGCTGAGTGACCATCCCCCACATCCATTCTAGAGTCTACAGAGGGTGTAGGGTTTCTAGGAAAGACAGGTGCCTGGGAGCGTACACACACACGTCCTGACTGAGCTCTTTCGCATCATGGACGGTGAAGCCGCATATGTACTTCTTTTTGGTGCCTGCCAGTGGCTTAGTGCAGGAGCCGGAGCACATTCCTTCAACCACCTCAACCCAAAAAAAACCTACATGAGTTACCTTGCTGCAACATGCTGACCAGGCTGCTGTCGATGGTTGCCATGTCCAGCACTGAAACTCACAGGCTCCGCCAGCCTGTCTACTGAGAGGGTCGGAACACATCCCGGTGACATGATGCCGATGCAGCTTTACACCTTTCTCTCGCAGGTTTGGCAGTCGGATTGCCGTCTCCATCTTCATTATTACGGCCCAACTCTGATCCTAGCATCCTTAGCGTTGTGGATCTCTTCCCGGGGAAAAATCAGACATTACAGTAGCGTCAGCTGCATGTCCCTATGCCCAAACACAACGGAAGGCCTGCGAAGTGATCGCCGCGTGGCTATGCGGCAAAGATTTGATCCATTAGCAGGCTTCTCATGGTCCATGAAGCCCCTGTCACTAACGTCCCTGTAAAAAAGAGACACGGCACACTGAGAAGACTGCTGCCGGAGCTTTAAGCTTGGAATGCGCTCAGAAAGTGCGAAACAAGCCGATCCCAGACCTTGTGTGGTAAACTGCGCTGCCTACTATCCTACCAACTGAGTTGCAGTTCCTTTGGACCAACAGCAAACAAGACAAGACACACAAGCAGCTTCATCCGGAGGGAGTGAGCCGAATTCCACGGGTGGAGACCCCTTAACCATGCAGTTAGCAAACTCCCAAGTAGGAAGACAACGCACGTGTCAGCTGGCGTTTGAGCATGCCAAAGCTGACTTTTCGTCCTGACCTCTTGGGGGTACAGGGTTTCGGGTTTAGGGTTATTTCCATTCTCAACTGCAAATGCCCGCAGCAGCCCAAGCCCCCGCACCATGCCGCAAAGGATTGCGGCCCCTCCTGGCAGGTTCGGAGACCGGAATACCAAGTTCGTCGGGCGTAAAGGGTGGGGCAGTGGGGCGGTTATAGAGCTCAGGGGTCATTTTGGGATCGATTTCGGGTACTTGTGGGTTGAGGCTTTGGGCTGTTTCAGGGTGTCAAAGCCCCACGTAAACTCCCTGTGAATAACAGGCTGTGGACTCTATGAATTGAGGGGTGTAGGGGTTCGAGACCTTGACCCAACATGCTTTAGAGCCCTTTTGTGCATCAGGGTCTCCTACCTCGGCTTGCATATCCCATTCGGGATGCAATGCTAGCGTCCAGAGCTCTCCGAATTCTGCGGCTGCTTGCACAGACATACATTGTACAATTCGCAACATAGAACTCAGCGAACTTGCTGCTGTCCCTATGTATTTCAACGCTGAGAATTTTTGAAAGAATTGCTAACAGCTACGTTCAGTCCCCCGAACGTGCTTCGTGGTACTTTTCGTGGTCTTAGGAGCAAGTTAGCGGCTGCGACCACCACACGGCTTCCCGAAGTCTGAATGTGAGCGGGATTGGCTCAGGGCAGACCCCAAGCCAAAAGCCAACACGAGACACTGCAGACGCTGGCGCCCAGCTGCATGACTGCCAGCGTTTGTGACAACCTTTGCGGGCGTACTCCGTGCAGCCGCAATGGCACCTGCCTCGCATGAATCCCCCGCCGGTCCTTGCACATAACTTGCTTGGGGTGTAAGGGATGCAGCGGCTCATATAAGTGAGCCATGCTCTCGCGCCAGGGATCCAAAGGCAGCAGGCGAAGCAGCACCACCGCGTCTTCCAACATCTCCGCCACCACAACAACGAGATAAAGGATCAAGCTGTGCATGTTGTAAAGAGCTTCCGAGGCAGGACTACCGACCCAGACGAGCCGGAAGATGGCGTAGGCGGTAAAACAAACGAAGCGGTGGTAGCCGCAGGAGACACGCGCATGGCGATGGATCATGGCATAGCAGCCCAGCTGGAAGGGTTTTTGCAACTTCTGTGGCAGCACCTTGGTGTACAGAGTCAGTTGATAGCCGTGCCGAACGACCAGATTATTCACGAGCAGGACTAGCACGCTGCCAAGCCAGTCCCAGCGCCATTCAGAGCTGCGTACTGCAACACTGATGAGGCTCACCAAGCGAGTGCCCTCAGACAAGGAATGGGCCCAGCTAATCATCATGGTGACGGGCGCATGCTGATCGCCATAAATGGCGTGTTTTTGATCTACGGCACGTGCCCATGCGAGCTTCGTGTAAACTCTCTCCATCAAGCCGACAGCACCCAACTCTGAAGCGGTAGTGGACAAGCTAAGGAATGTCGCTGCCAGAATGCTGCTCACCCCTTCAAGGAACATGAAGCCTGTGATGATGGCCCACTGGGAAGCGAGCAGGATAACATTCATCGAAAACATGAATGCAGTCCAACGGAGGTGCCTCATGGCATCTTGTGTCCTGCCTGTCCTGCTGCCTGCTCCAGAACTAGGGAGCCATGTGTGACAACAGCGAGCCACAAAGAAGCCGCAGGCCAACTGTGCCAAACTAGATAACTCGAAGCAAAATGCTTCGTAGAGGAAATAATGTGGGCGCCATGCTCGAAAGAAAGTATGACGAAGAAGTCGGCCAAAGTCCACACGACGGCGCCAAAAAGTATGGCTCCAGTGGCAGCATGGAGCGGCTGCTGCCTTCCGAGGAGGGTATCGACGAGCAACTGCGCCCAAACCTGCCCACCAATGATTAGACTGCGAAGTACGTACCACCATACGTCAACATCCTCTGCTTGGACACTCAGCTCGCCGGTACGAACAAGCCCGCATGACATGCAGAAGAAGAAGAGATAAGCCAGAATGCCTGCGAAATATGCTAGTCCACCAAATGGCGTAAACAGAACTGGCATTGCCTCTTCCTGCTGCACGCTGATGTTCACTTGCTGCACGTACGCAGCTTCCTCATCATCCCCAGAAGCAGCCACAAACAGCACAGCACCGGATAGCTGCCAACACAGGACATCGCCCATCATCACGCGTATTCCCACAACGCGATTCTGGCTGTCCAAAAGCAGCTCGTAGCGACCTTCGTCAGGTAGAGCCACAATATCAGGTCCAGAACGCATGAAGCCATAGTCCCAACTGCCGAAGCGACGCTGTAACTGGCGCACCTCATGGCAGGTTTGGTCAAATGCTGGTGGCTGCCATATGAACGTCTCTTCATCGAAGGGTGCCAAGTCATGCTGATACACGACTTCTTTCGGGACTGGCTGAGGTGAAAGTTGTGTCCAAAGTAGGCATGCCCTTCCGCCAGCATCGAGTCGCCTTTACAGCAACTGCTCGGCTGCAGGTCCAGTCCCCACTATGATGAGGCTCACGTCGAGCAGTTTCCATGTCCCGTCATCGCCTGGGGCACTCTCCCAATATTTCATGTGTCTCACACGTGGCTTCGGTATATACCTTAGGTCACTATGTGCATTAGGGAATGATCTGCAGACCTCCTCAAGCTATGTGGAGAATCTGGGGTTTTCATGTGCATGCCCTGTGCCTGCATCTGGTTCCAGCTCCGAGAAGCTGTCGCAAGGCTCCTGGCACCTGACCCGGACAATCCCCTGTCCTGGAATGCTGCGGTGGCCAATCCGACATTTCTGCTCGACTGGTGCTGATTCCATGGTTCTGGCTGCCTTGGCAACTCACCACAAGCACATACAGAAACCTGTTCTTGACCCACAAACATGTTGACCCCTGGTAAGGGGGAATTAGCTAGCTGAACTACAGGCACTGGCACCTAATTCTCTAACTCCGTACTATGAACGAGCAGGCAGGAACCTATGCGAGAATCATTTCAGCGCCTGCCAAACCTTTGCTCTTGCTTCGCCATGCACGGAGACCCCATCCGCAGACATCTCCGGAAAGCAGGTACTGTCAACAGCTCTCTCAGTGCTGCCACAGTTGAAAAAACTTATCTGACATTTGTCGGAGTCTTGGAAGCCTTAGCTGACTATAGCGCACCTGGTAAATTCTTAACTCCTAGTGGTCCCTTCGTGTAAACCATGAGAAACTCAAAAAGCTCAAGCAGCCAAACTCCGAAAAGCCGGCCTCAAAACTCAAAAAGTTCAAGAACCTTTGCAAACTAAAGGCAGCCACGAAACAAGGCACAGCAACGCTGGATGTGTCCACCATGGCTCTGCTGCTGCTTTCGGCTCTCAATTTTTTGATAGCCGTGAGCACGACAAGCACGGTACTACTTCCCAGCAGCACACACTGTTGGGCTCCAGTCTTCAAAACTGAGAAAGGGACTGATCGAAAACTGAACCTAGCACATGTCCTTGTTGCCAGAAGCCTCTACTGGAATAGATAGGAAAACGGCGAAGCTGTCAGAACGCTTACTGTGACATGCAAAACGAAGTACTGTGTATAGCAATATAGTATAGCATACAGGTATTTGTATTTGAGTCAAATGGTATGTGATGTGACGTATATACTAGAACATACTGCACACGATGTATTCTATTTTGTATATAACATTTGGTACAGCATATGCTCTGCCGTATATCTTGTACATTTGTGTTTAAATCATGTGTTATACGTTCTACTTGAGACACCGTTTAATCGTGAATAGCAAACACACACACACATATACATACATACATACATACATACATACATACATACATACATACATACATACATACATACATACATACATACATACATATATATATATATGTATATATATATATATACACAAGATTGTGTGTAGAAACAGATATACATGTGTGTAGGAAAATAGTCCAACGGTCGTCAAGGCCATGGCCGCAGAATCGCTCCGCTGAAGTTGCTGGGTAGCAGGGCAGCGGAAGGATGGACTGTTTAGCTGCGTAGAGAATTCTGTGTGGCTGAGCCGTCGTAAAGGCTCTTAAGTTTCAACAACATTCAGCAAGGTTGCAGAGTACCCAAAAGAGAGCCCACAATTTTGATGCTTCGGACTCTAAACGGTAAGAAGTTGAGAAGAAGACCTCCATAACGATAGCGTGGAACCCTTGAAGCAAACTTCATCGGAGCCCTGAAGGCATGGTCTCAGGGAAATGCCCTTCCACTGCCTCAGATCTGCAAGTCAGCGGTTGCGTTGAATCTTGGGCTTCCCTTCAAAGCCCCAGAAAGAATCAAGCTCAGGATGCACTTTGGGGGGGGGGGGGGGGGGCAAACACATCACACCTCAAAGCCTTCGAAGATGTAGCGGTATGCGCCGAAGTTGAACCCGAAACCCTGAAGCCGACACTCCTATACCCCCCAGACCTGCTCCGCACTCTACACATCCCTAAGCCGTGTAAACTTCACAAACCCTCGGAGCTCCTTCCATGAGTGTTTGGGCCCGAGACGAAAGTCCGTGCTGCTTAAAGACAGACCTGGCCATGGAGTGACGCCGCGCTAGGTTCTGCGGCTCCGGGTTTTAGGGTTTTGAGGTTGTAGAGTTGTAGGGGGTTTAGGGGTGGTTCTGGGGTTTGGCTTCTCTTGGGCTACATGCACCGCAGGTTCAGCTGCAGACCCGGATCCCAGGATGACCCGGATCCTCTCTGGCCTGGTCTGAGGCGATCTGATCTGGGTGTGCCGGATCCGCCTCTCCACAAGAGAGCTTCTTTGCCACACCTACTGAAGCAGCTCGAAGAGCCATCCTGTTATCCTCATGTACATAATGCATACAGATATATAGAATATGTGTACATCTTCATTCCACCGACTTGGGCCGTGCAATGGCTTCTGGAGCATGTTAAGCGTGCAATCCTTCGATCGAAAGGCCGCTGTACCACAGTAACACCGTGTAGCTGACCGACATCGACGAGTCAACGAGTACCTTCATCTGTTCGAGCAGCAGTCTTGACATGCGATAGCCTCCCGTCCGAGCTTGACGGCTGGATGCCCTTGTTGCTCTCCAGCATCATCTGCAACTTGGACGGGTACCTCGACATCTACATGACCCAAGCACTTCAAACAAGGCCTCCTCGAATGGGCAAAAAGAGAGCTGGGATGTATTTGTGCTGATGCTGCGCAAGTTTCATACCAGTGATACTAGTGGGTTCGATGCCGACAACTTGCAGCTTGACAGATTCAGAATTCACCTTGAGCCCCAAACTCCAGACATCTCCACACTCTGAAGCCTCAGTTCCGCACCCAGGCTCCTGATCGGGCACATTGCCGGCAACCTGTCAGAAGCTAATGGTTAGGGGGGGTTCGCCCTCGACTTTGTGGTGATAGATGGGCACCTTTTTGGCAGATGGAGCCCTACAGCCCCTCAAGGTGCGCCCATATCTGGATGATGGATTGATAAAGTTGATGGTGTAGGCTCCATTGCCGCATGTTGCGCGATCAACTTTGAATCAACTTTGAATCTGTTGCCTGGCGAGGTCCAGAAGGGTTTGAAAGGCCCCAGTGCTCCATGGCTCCAGGTGCGGCCAAGGTTTCAAGCTCACACCTGGGCGTCTAAGGTGTACCTTGATGCTGTCCTGCAACGGCATGAATCATGCAACCGCTGGAGCTGCTGAAAGTGCGGAGCCTGCACGTCGATCCTAGCTACAGCTAACTCGAACCACATCAGCCGGCCGGAGTTCCCGGATGAACGCTCCCCGGAACTATGACGCTATACAGCTGGACATCAATGCGAATCCAGACCGCTGCTCTTGCTCCGGATGCTGGGTCGGCTCTTTGTCTTTGGATAGGCCCTTTTTAAGGCAACTCTGGCGGCTGCGCAGGGTCTGCTGTATGTACAGGGCCACGGACGGAGGGGGGGTGCCCTAAACTTAAACAGGATGCCCCAGGATGCCCGAGGCATGCAGGTGCCGCGTCAGATATCCACGAAAGCGGTCATGCCGGAGGCGGATGTGGCTCAGACAAACGAGGCGCTTTGTTGCTAGACTCATCGGCAAAGCTCACCCGCTTTCGCCAGTTCCTGAGCACAAGAGAAGGACAGCGCTCTCACGGACAGACAGGTCTTCGATGCTAGGACCTGCTCGGAAACAAGTCTAGCCGACTGCACCACCTGGCAGCACAGGCCATGTCAGTCGTTGCAAAGTGCAACTCATCGAAGCCTGAAACAATCCCGCCGAGTATACCCCGCAGAGAAGCCCACAGAGAGTACCGCCGAGACCTCTGAGGTGCCTCCAGAGAAGCCCGCAAAGAATCCCGCCGAGTGTTCCCGCAGAGACATCCCTGCAATGGTTCTCTGGACTCTGGAATGAATGCCCACCTCCAGAAGAAACTCGCAACAGTCCCGCGAGTATCCCGCAAGTGCCAGAGAATTCCGCAGAGAGCGAAGTGTCCGTAAATACCTCTCCGAAAACAGCAGGATCACATCAGATTTCTGTAGGGTGTGGATGATCGACGTAACGGCTTGAAAGGGATTCTGTTCTGCACTAGAAGACCCGGGAGCTTCTAGATCCTATTGAAAGGGCACCCCAAGCAGTCCAGTGGGCCAACATTCTTGAAGCAGCTCCCTACATCCTCAGAAGTTCCTAAAGCCCTAAATCTCCATCCGGACTCCTCCCAAACCCTCAAGGCCCCGACTTCCTAATTCCCGCAAACCATACAAAAACCCTAAACCACAATTGCGTGGGCCCCCAAGAGTCCCAGAACCCCAGAGCAAAACGAAAGCCCCCCTGGAACCCCCTCATACGCTCCTTTAAAACAACCTTTGAAACCCCCTGGAAACCCATGCAAAGCCCCCCCGAAAAATCTCTTATGCAGCCCCTTAAACACCCCAAAGCCCGAGAACCCAACGCAGATGCGATGTTGGGGCCCCGACTTCAGCAGCGGACTGCGGCTCTGAGTTGCCTTTTTTAAGTCTTTAGGATCTACAAGGTTTAGGGGGGGCTTAGGGTTTAGGACTTAAGAGGGCGTAGGATTTGGGGTTGAGCTTCTTCGGCTCTTGAGGTGTCGTGTAAGGCTCTGAGCAAGACTCTGAGCAAGAATCAAGAGCCCCGCCGTCCAGGAGTTGGCAGCTGGCTGCGGCATGCCTGCCCATCCACAGGACGTAATCTTGGGAGTTGCTGTGCGCCCATTGCCTTCATGGGTCCACAACAGCTTTCTTTGTGGCATCCTCTACGGGATTCCAGGATAAACGGTGGGAATTCGGGGCCCAGTTCCACGCAAAGGCTTCAGCCTTTAGGGGAGTACTGTCGGGTTCTTGTATGGTTTTGAGGGGGATGCTTGGGGGTGGACGTAGCTGAGAAATCGGCGAGTGATGGCTGGTGATGGGGACCTGCATGCAAGCCTCTGTAATCCTGCAGGGGGGTTGGGGTTGGGTTTTACATAGCATCCTCAGACATATCGCTGCTGATGGTATAGAAAGGAAGCTTTGTGTTTCATGCGCCTGGTGGCCGGTTTCAGGGCAAAATTTCGGTGGCATCAGCGATGGCTGGTTGCGGCGTGGGTGGGTGGGGGGGAGTTGCAGATCACATGCAGCCAATTGCAGCTGTGATGGTGGCCGAAGTCCGAACAACGCGAAAGTGCCACGATGGGCAAAGTTATACTTTGAATATCATATGATGGTCTTGGATGTAGGTTCAGGGTGGATAGACTTTCGTTTAACTATCACTTAGGGTTCAGGGTTATTTGGAGCGGCACAAGCGAAGCCCAGCTGCCCGCCTCCAGAGCCTTCCTTCACAGCTTGCGGAGCCGCGGCAGCCTGGCGCCCCTTCCCCGCTGAACCGAAGCTAAGCAGGTAACTCAGGGTGTTTCGTTGGCAAGAGTCTTGGCTCATTACGTACTGCTGGCTTTGAGAATTAACAAACACGTGCGTGCGCGATGATGGCGTTCCTGTGCCTCCGGCTGCGATTGGAGCACATCCAAAGCAGCTGCTTCAACCACAACTCAATCCTAAACACACTGGAGGCGATGATTGAATTCACATAGCATCTCAATTCACATTACATGGTATATGCTGCGAGTGCGCGTCGCACATGATGACTGCCCCCATCCCCCTGGATTCAACGGATGTGCTGCAATACCCGGCTACGCGCAAAACCCAACGAATACTGAGTCTGCAATGCTGGCTAAGGCTTGGAACCCAAAGTGCAAAAAGCTCGCGGCATCCGTGTTTTTACAACCTTTTACCCCTGGAACTATCCAGTATCGAGTCGCCCCTTTGCCTGAGGGCTGAAGTCGTAGAGCAGCTTGCAAAGGCCAGTGCCCAAGTTAATCGTGGAGCCCATGATGATGCACCTTGTTTCCCCACGCGGCCAGTGCTGTAGGGTTTCAAGTGCACCAGTTTCTGGACATTCATGATTCGCGGACACAGATCAACTTTCCAAGCAAAGGGCGCCGTGCCCCAGACGTCCACTCCGGATGAGATTTTGTTTCCATTGTTCAGCCACCCACTTTGATCCGCCGCCCCCCAACCGCCCCCGACCCCGATCACGCTTTGATGTATATGCGCTTCAATCATGGCCAGTACTGCGTTACATAAATTGACAGAGTCCTCACACGCCGGCGCTTTGTGATGTCAAGCACACCACCGAAAGTATGCTGACGGCTGACAGTGAAGAAGCCACCATGCTCCGACAGGCGGCTTCCCCAGGCCATGGTGTGCTAATTAAGGCACCGGGCATGCTGATTCCAGAGCCCTTGATGTGAGATTGGAAGTGAATGGCAGCATGGTGACAACGGAGACTCGTCCAGAAGCACATGGGGCTTTCAGCACCTGCAACTTCACTAAAGGGGAACTAGTCTCGGACTCCCAACAATGCCAATTACACCGTAGGCCGCTCGCCCTGAGGCAGGGGCTCGCTGACACCCTTCACGGGGTCCAGGCGGCTGCGCGCTGCGGCATCGAAGACAAGGTCCGTGGTCCGCTCAAAGGACGCCAGCCTCGTGGCTGCAAACCGGCTTTGGGGCTGCTGGGGTGGTGGGGTGGGGATGGGGTGTGGGAGGGTTCAGGTGGAAAAAAATTGCTGCTCCGTGTTCAGTGATTGTGGGACTCAAGGAGTGCCAAGTGGCATCAAAGCCGACGTCCGCATTCGGCTAATGCCGAACCTGTTGATGCCCAGTACCTCGTTTCTGTTCGATCGGACTGAGCTTCCAATCTCACATCAAGTCATGAAGGACAAGGGCAACAAGAACCCTTCTAGGACTGGTTGCTTCTCGCCACAGGCAGCTGAGGCCACCGCAGCTCCGCGATATGTCATGCAGTCGCCCAGCATCTGGATATGACGAGCCTGGCTCAAACCTAAAGCCTGAACCCAACCCTAAACCCAAGCCCTGTACCATACTCACCTCAGTCGGCGGGATTATGTGGAATGTGGGTTCTCAAGTCAGTACCATCTCCCCGGTCTGAGGATGAGGCGTCCACTGAAATTCCATGAGCGCCCAACCTAGGCGGCTCACACATCGAGGGCCTCCCCTCACCCTAGGCGAGGGTCTACCCTAGGCTGGGGTAGATGCAGAGCTTCTGTATGGATTTGTTAAGACCTGCCAAACCCCTCGGCTCTCGCCCTCAACCGTAACCCTAGTAAGTTGGGTCCCCTAAAACTAGACTCGAGATCCCAACTATGCGGAAGCCTGGGAGGCTTCACTCCCTTGCAGCTTCGCTGCGTGACTTTGATCTCCTGCATGATGGTGCGTCGAGCTGCTTCAATGCCGAGCACCTTCTTTTTCCATGTTCAGGAGCTGAGAAGCTTGCGGTGGATTGGGAGTTCAGGGCTTAGTGGGTTTCTAACGGTATCAGAGATAAGCCTCTTCAGGGTTGCAGAAGAGTTTCTGGGGTTTCTCTTGTGCGGCTCCTCAACGAGCCTCCATGCTGCAATCCGCTCACAACTCTCACTTTTCAAAAAGCAATCTGCGCCGAGATTCCTTCCCCCTAACACATGTCCGAGAGGTTGCATCAAAATCAAAAGGGCTACATCATGTAGCCTGAAATTTTCTCAAGACTACAAAAGAGCCCAGACTCTGGAAATGGTGGGGCTCGCACTTTCTCCACCTCCACCACATGGTTGGAGCTGGTTTTGTTCGGGTTGATCCCGGGCGTTCCCATGACCTTGAATCGGCAGGACTGCAGTTTTACAACTTTGGGCACGTAGCATGCTAGTCCTCAAGATCTTGCACGCTCCTGAATCCCCTTCTTCCAAGCTCTCAACCTCTCGCAGGCCATAGCCTTCGACGAGCAGTGTGTACGAAACCTGCAAGACACAAACTTTTCCCCTCCCCTCCCTTCTCTGACGATGCGGTACACCCATGCTGAAGACAAAAAAACATTGGCTCTGAGCTGGGCAGCCTTGTCGCCAGCTTCCTTCTTGTTGAGGACGGAGCGCTTGGTGGAAGGGATTCCCTGTGAGCAGTAGAGCTACACCTCTTAGCCTGAATCCCAAGCTCCTAGGCCAACATAAGAATATAAACAATGTGCAAAAATAGTAGATCCTCTACGAATACAGTAGTATAGAATAATGCATTTTTAGCCGATACTACTGATTGCAGAACTTGCACTTCTTGGCCTTCACAACCGCCTTTGGCAGCGCCGCCTTCAACGCCTCGAAGGGATTTCAGGAACTTCAATGACAAAGGAGGCCAAAGGTGGCGTTACAGTAGTAAGCATGAAACGCCGCTGGAAAGTGAAGCGGAACGAGGACCTGAGGACCCCAACCCCAAAGCTCCCAAAATTGAGCCTGCAAGGAGAAATACAGCATCTTGTTGCCCGCGGTCATCTTCGGCGGCTTCACGCGCAACTTGTCCTGGCCATCTCGGGAGTCGACCCATCTTGCTTTTGTTTTTGGCTGAATGCTTAACTGAGGTTCGAAGAGCGAGACGAGTATCATCAATGGCGCGAAGCAGCTCACGGCTTGCTCCCTTCCGGCAGCTTCTTTACTTGAGCATGCATGTGCCATCCACATTCCATAGCAGATGCGGAACAATGGTTCTCTCTGTGGGAAGCCACTCGCCGTCACGTGCCACCTACTGATTGTCCACATGGGAAATTTGGCAAGCTGCCACTAGCACAGAACTCAAGAAATACGTAAGTACAGAACCCAGGAACATCTTAACAAATTTCCCGCGGAGTGCTGAGACATAATGGTGCAGTTCAACATCTGCCGGTCAAGAAGGTTTTGGCTCAGACGCCAAGCCGAATCTCTGCAACTGCAGCCATGTGCCATGCAACCCGATCCCGAGCGACCATGAACGATCCAATGCGTCTTCGCAAGGCAGAGACATCACGACCCTCAGCAAATCCATGCTGGCAGAAATCAAGAGCATCTTCACAAGTTGCTTTCGGAGGATTACGACAAAGACATCCCTGGGCTCGGACGTCAAGATGAATCTCAACAACTGCCGCCATGCCCACCGATCTCAAACGACCATGAAGGATTCGACCCTCAATTGCACACATGCCAGAGATGCACGGCCCTCAGCAAATCCATGCTGGCAGAAATCAAGAGCATCTTCACAAGTTGCTTTCGGAGGATTACGACAAAGACATCCCTGGGCTCGGACGTCAAGATGAATCTCAACAACTGCCGCCATGCCCACCGATCTCAAACGACCATGAAGGATTCGACCCTCAATTGCACACATGCCAGAGACGTCACAGCCCTCAGCAAATCCATGCTGGCAGAAATCAAGAGCATCTTCACAAGTTGCTTTCGGAGGATTACGACAAAGACATCCCTGGGCTCGGGCGCGAAGATGAATCTCCACAACTGCCGCCATGCCCAACACAAATGAAGGATTCGATCCTCACTTGCACACATGCCAGAGACGTCACGGCCCTCAGCAAATCCATGCTGGCAGAAATCAAGAGCATCTTCACAAGTTGCTTTCGGAGGATTACGACAAAGACATCCCTGGGCTCTGACGTCAAGATGAATCTCCACAACTGCCGCCATGCCCACCGATCTCAAACGACCATGAAGGATTCGACCCTTACTTACACACATGCCAGAGACGTCACAGCCCTCAGCAAATCCATGCTGGCAGAAATCAAGAGCATCTTCACAAGTTGCTTTCGGAGGATTACGACAAAGACATCCCTGGGCTCGGACGTCAAGATGAATCTCCACAACTGCCGCCATGCCCACCGATCTCAAACGACCATGAAGGATTCAACCCTCACATGCACACATGCCAGAGACGTCACAGCCCTCAGCAAATCCATGCTGGCAGAAATCAAGAGCATCTTCACAAGTTGCTTTCGGAGGATTACGACAAAGACATCCCTGGGCTCGGGCGTCAAGATGAATCTCCACAACTGCCGCCATGCCCACCGATCTCAAACCACCATGAAGGATTCAACCCTCACATGCACACATGCCAGAGACGTCACAGCCCTCAGCAAATCCATGCTGGCAGAAATCAAGAGCATCTTCACAAGTTGCTTTCGGAGGATTACGACAAAGACATCCCTGGGCTCGGACGTCAAGATGAGTCTCCACAACTGCCGCCATGCCCACCGATCTCAAACGACCATGAAGGATTCGACCCTCACTTGCACACATGCCAGAGACGCCACGGCCCTCAGCAAATCCATGCTGGCAGAAATCAAGAGCATCTTCACAAGTTGCTTTCGGAGGATTACGACAAAGACATCCCTGGGCTCGGACGTCAAGATGAATCTCCACAACTGCCGCCATGCCCACCGATCTCAAACGAAAATGAAGGATTCGACCCTCAATAGCACACATGCAGAGACGTCACGGCCCTCAGCAAATCCATGCTGGCAGAAATCAAGAGCATCTTCACAAGTTGCTTTCGGAGGATTACGACAAAGACATCCCTGAGCTCGGACGTCAAGATGAATCTCCACAACTGCCGCCATGCCCAACACAAATGAAGGATTCGACCCTCACTTGCACACATGCCAGAGACGTCACGGCCCTCAGCAAATCCATGCTGGCAGAAATCAAGAGCATCTTCACAAGTTGCTTTCGGAGGATTACGACAAAGACATCCCTGGGCTCGGACGTCAAGATGAATCTCCACAACTGCCGCCATGTCAAGCGAACGACCCTTACTTGCACACATGCCAGAGACGTCACAGCCCTCAGCAAATCCATGCTGGCAGAAATCAAGAGCATCTTCACAAGTTGCTTTCGGAGGATTACGACAAAGACATCCCTGGGCTCGGACGCATGAATCTCCACAACTGCCGCCATGTCAAGCGAAAGACCCTTACTTGCACACATGCCAGAGACGTCACAGCCCTCAGCAAATCCATGCTGGCAGAAATCAAGAGCATCTTCACAAGTTGCTTTCGGAGGATTACGACAAAGACATCCCTGGGCTCGGACGTCAAGATGAATCTCCACAACTGCCGCCATGCCCACCGATCTCAAACGACAATGAAGGATTCGACCCTCGCTTGCAAACATGCCAGAGGCGTCACGACCCTTAGCAAATCCATGCTGACAAGAGCATCTTCACAAGTTGCTTTCGGAGGATTACGACAAAGACATCCTGGGCTGGACGCCATGTCAACCGATCTTGAACGACCAGGAAGGAGTCGACGCATACTTGTGCGCATGCCAGAGGCGGCTCAGCAAATCGGATGACTCTTTTCATCGCAGGGGCCTCCCCGCGCTGAGACGCTGCGCCATCTCAAAAAATCATCAGTTTGAAGTTTTCCGGCACAACATTCAGCAAACAATTGCCAGCTGCTTCCAGAGGATCACGACAATGACATATTTTCCATTGGCGACAGGACCACATCAGCAATTCCCGATTCAGGAAGACCAATTTAAGGCTTTCCTTTTCGGACAGTGATATAGGCGACAAGTGACTAGTCATGATGGGAACAGCGTAAGCGAGGCTTTTCGAGTTCTGTTCAGGACAAGGGTGGGATTGAGGCTGCTGGTGTCATGCTTTTCTTGACAGTGGGTGCTGCAAAACTACTGCATGTTGCAAACAGGCACCGCGTGCAATCTCTGTCAACAAAACCCGCGCAGAAGTGATTTCGACACTACCAAGTGACGACGGACAGCATGCATTCACATGCCCATCCTCGCTCACTATCTCGACATCAGATTTGACGAGTCGGATACCACTGAGGTTCTTGGAGTCGAGCAAGGCTGTCTGAATGTCCTTGCGGTCGCAAGCATGTCTGCGTTATCTTGCGTCGTGCTTGCGATGAAGTGTCGCAGCCTAGCGCGCTCCTGCCCTCACAAGGACCGTGAACAAGCCAGAATGCAAATCAACTGATGTCCGCTGGAAGTCAGACTACTTTGCAGTACTGAGCATTGCTACTAAATGCACTCCGGAGCAAATCTTAGTACGCTACAGCTCGCTCCAAAACTCGCGCTGACTACAAGCTTGCCCATGTTTTTGAAGTGCGACTCGTGCCCTCATGCGAGGAGAAGGCGGTGTTGCCAAAAGTGTTTTGTAGGATGTGCACGGTGCTCTGCAACGGTACAGTCTAGTACTCAACCCGATGCCCAGCCGACGCCTTTAACCCTAAACTGCCCTAAACTGCCCTAAACTGCCCTAAACTGCCCTATGCCCTAAGCCCTAAGCCCTAAGCCCTAAACCCTGCACTGAACGGCAGCCTGGATCTTCAGCTCAAGCTGCAGCCTCTCAATGGTCTTGACGTCCACCTCAGATGGTAGGGAAAGCCAAGTGCAAGTGATGCAGGACGTTGGGCTGCAGGCTTAGTGCCTGCCTTGACGCTGATGAAGCACCCATGAGCCGGATCGTATACTTCCTTGAAGTAAAGGCCTCAGGTGAAGTCGCAGTCTTTTTCTCGTCGCACTGGCACATGCTGAAGTCTCGACTCACTCAGCTGTCAGAAAGAAACTTCCATGCTCATTCAGGCCGCCGCTTGTGCATCTTCAGGCCTACAACAAGACCTCTGCAGAAGCTAAGGCCTCCACATATGTCACCGAGGTTGGTACGCTCGATCCGCCCCTTCACAATTCGAGCGCTCACCTGGCATGCATGTGGTGCCACCAAGATCAGCAAACATGAAACTTGCGTGTGGCGAACCTCGTTGAACTCATCCCGGAGAGTGCAGGTGATGATAGGTGTGGAAATGCTCTTGGCAGCGTTGATGATCTCCTCATTGCAAACGCGGCGAGTTGCCATTGAGCTGGTCAGGTATCGAGCATTTCGGTATCTACATGCATAGGGTCTCGGGTTTAGGGTTTAGGTTTTAGGTTTCAACAGTGTAGGGGAGGTTCGACCACGCCATCATGGCTCCTTGATTCTGGGCACCCCCAGTGTGACGTTCATGCTGGCCTTGGGATCAGGGACAGATAGGGACAGGCTCTGCTCTGAGGTTCGGGGTTAGGCATGCTGAGAGCTGAGGGAGCTTGAAGTTTTGACCTTGAACCCTGAGCATTCAGGATCACCGGATCAGTGGACTGCCAGGGCTGCCCATGCACACAATGCACAGAGTACCCTGCCACGCCAGCGAAGTGGAAGGTTTTCAGCGTCATCTGCGTGGCTGGCTCGCCGATAGACTGTGCCTAGGAGGGCGGCTCTGACTCTGACTCTTTCTAGCTCTGCATTGGGTGGGCTACCTTAGTTGCAAAGCTTTGCTTCAAGGCGATGACTCGGTCTTCACTTGAAGGTGCATACGTAGTAAGAAGAAGCGTGAAGATGCGACAGGTAAGGCCTATACTGCCTATGTACGTTGGACCTTTCGGGTCTATGTGAGGCAATGTCCTTGTTTCCCTATTAAAACCCATGGAAACTCATGTAAGTGATCCAAAACATGAAAGTAGCGCAGGGATTCGACTTGGGGATTTTGGGTTCAGGCCTTAGGCTTTAGGATTTGAGTTTGCCTATATAGAGCTTTAATGAATGGCCGTACTTCTAACCCTACTTATACTTACAACTACCCATGAACCTTCAAAGTACATGCTGAACATGGGAAAGCTGAGAAAAAAAAGCCCGAGGACACCTCCAGCAACCTGAGCTGCACGCTGCCACAGCTCCGACGGCCTCGCCGGGCATCAGAAATGCCTCCCAGTATGGAGACATGAAAGACCAATGCATCGCAAGCAAAGTGTCGCTTAGCCTGTGATGAGCCACGAGCCAGGACTTGGCCTGCTTTTGGGTCAATTTCCATGGGTTGCGGCCGAACCTTCTTCTATGCTTGACCGCAGCAGCGTGGGGAAGTCAGCGGGATGAGACTTAAGCAAGAACTTAAGACTGGCATTCCACGACAGCTGCCTAAGCCAGGGCAAGACCGACGGTGGGTTGCAGTGACGTCAGACAGCCACTGAGGCTGTACATGGCAACACTCAGAGTGCTGTGCTGTACAAGCAAGGCGACCACCATGCAGGGTGCTGAAAGTTGAAGGTGCGTTGAAACCACGTTATGGCTGCCGAGGTTCTCTGTTTGTTTCTTTACATGAGGCATAATTACTTCTTTCGACCATGACTCTGCTGCCTATTCACCCTCGCTCTGCCCAAGCAGGAGCCAGTAATCAGAAATCACTGGAACGGCTGTGATCGGGCCACACGCCCCGGTGCAGGGTAGCATGACGCCACGGCGAATGGCCACCACAAGCTTCGCACGATCTTCTGCCGCTGAGGGCATCGGAAACCAGAGTTCAAGATTTCGCGTGGAGCCACCCGGCAGATATTCTGAACTGGAACGGGACCGAGAGGCCGAGAGGGACCCAGATTAAGAACCCCCACAGCCACCTGCACGTACTTGAGTGCACAGGTGTTGATGAAGGCGTCGAGCTGCTGCAGGGTAGGGCATGGCCTTGGTTCAAGTGGAGCCCGGAACGGGAAGCTAAGCCACACGTGGAGAGGTAAACCCTAAATCCCTCATCTTGTGTTCGGTTTATTTGTAGGAAGCCCCCCCCACCAAAACCCTATCAACCCCCAAAACCCACCCCCCCCCCCCCCCCAACCGTCTCCAGGCTCAGGACCCCAAATCCATCAGCGAGAGTCCCTCCTGCAGCCTTCCGAGGGCACGGGCAGCTGATTGCACACGTTTGCCACCGCAACATTCAGGACATGGGGGATTCCGAAAATGGGGCTACCGTTTCTTGCTACCTCTTTTTTTTTGTTGGGGGGGGGGGGTGGGGGTGGGGGTGGGGGGGGGAGGTGGCGGGAGGTCTTCTTGACAGCTCCACGACCAGCCTCCACGTCATCCGCGCTGCATCGGCCGACTCCTCAAGGAGCGACGTATGCGATCAGCTTCCTTCACACTGTTATTTTGGGCGGCCATTTAACCAAAGGACTGACAGAGTAGAGTAAGCCCTTGGTAGGAAACTATCGACACCAGATTCTAGCGAAGGAGAACCATTTCTTTTGTTAGGCTGGCTTCCCTGCCTTGCTGTCCCCAACTTCGAGTCCGAGTTGTGCACGTTTGGCTGCCACCTGCACCCCGGAGGTCCCTACAGAACCCGCTAGGCTCCGCCAGATCTTGTTAGTTGAATAGTCGAATCGTCTGGCACGCAGTCTTTGCTTATCCTCATGGTCCATTGGGCAGAAAACAGCTCTTGCTGCAGATGACACTGCACTCAAAGTCAGAGGGTTCTTAACAATAATTCAAGATCATAACACAACAAGATATTAACACGAAAAAGCAAGAACATGTGCATAATAACAACACCTTCTTCGAATCGTGCTGGGACGTGCTCAGACAGTCTGGCCTGCTGGGCCAAGTCCTTGATGAAGCGCCGCACATCTCCTTTCACCTGCCTTACATTGGTGGGGTTTAGAGTTTAGGGTTTAGGGTTTGGTTTCAGGGTTGATCCCTAGGCCGAAGAGGTGCACATAGCTCATAGTCTGTAATGGATTCTTGTGGTTGGTGGTAACGGACAGTCAGTGTCTGCCTCCAGCTGTGGCGACTTCCTCCGGAAACTTTCGTAAGACAGTCGGGCATCATGATGAACTGTTGGGCCCATCTTCACTTCCCTGACTAAATTAGGGGGAACTTGTGCACAGAAGACAAGATTGAGAGACAAGGTGCTCGAACTCCAGATCAGAGGCGCCCTGTGTGCGCTTGACGAACTCCTTCGTGCAGATTCCAGAGCACCGACATCAATTCTTTCTATCTGTGGAGGTTTTGAACCACCGAAAGAGGTTTGGGGTCTCCACCTATGGCTCTAGGGATTCTAGGTTTGAGGAGTTAGCGCCAAACAAAGACTTTTTAACTCTGCCCTGTTGGTTTTTTGTTTTGCCAAAGTGTAAGGTCCCCACCACGAAGCGCATGGCACAGGGCTCAGCAAGCTCTCGCAGCTCCATGGGCAGCAGCGGCCAAAGCTTGTACCTCCGCCGGTGTGCCCTCAAGCGAAGGGTTTAAAAGGGACTGGTGAAGGGGCATGAGAACTGCGGGTTTCGACCTGGGAATGTTTGCACTTTCTAGGGAGCGTGCGCAGGTCGCTGAAGCTGTGAGCAATCGCTGGTAAGTGAGGTCATTGGGGCACTGGTCCTGCTCCGTCTCCTGTGAGCTCCTGGCAGGGCATGTAGAGTTGGGCTTTCTCCACTTGCAGGACTGCAAGGTCCGCACTCGCTGATGAAATCCTGACTTGCCTCCCAACCCCTGGAAGCCCTAATGGCCCTAAAGGCACCCTTGACCCACTTTGCTCTTGAATCCAAGGCCTTTGGATTGGCTCGGCCACGCGCCCTGTTCGTGCCATGGCCGGCAGGGGCCCAGGAGGCTGTGCGGCCTCGCTCTGGAAGCTTCAGACCCCGCAATCCCCACGTGAATCGACGTCCTAAACTCCAAGGCCCTAAGCCCGGCTCGGAATCTTGGCTGTTCAGGGGCTAGGCGTGACTGAGCAAGATGCCCAGGAAGGGTTTGGGGTTCAGGGTCGGGGTAGACATGGCCTTCGTCTCGAATTTTGTACATCGATCTCGGTGTGGCGGGCGAAGGACGTGGACCACCTGGTTTCGACAATAACAAGGGCAGGTACATCACAGAGTGCGCGAGGCACATGCATGATATGATGAGGAAAACCTAGGCTATCCACCAACCTGGATTTTTTAAATGGACTCTTTTGTGCAATCGGGCTTAGATCGGTACTGTTGGGGATCATGGGGATCCTAGTTGTTCAGTTGTTCTTCAAACGCTCTCCTACTTGTTAAAAAAACCCCACTTTCCTGTAGCAGGGCGCACGCACACGTTCTGTTGAACCTTGCCGCTACACGCAGGAACTGTGAGCAGAGTATCGGCGAACTGTCGTCCCAACTCCCAGCCCCCAAACATGAAAAACCACTGTGCGAGGCTGCCGGTGGACCCGCACGAAGTGAGCAGAACAAATATGATAAACCTCCACGTCGTGATATGGTGTTCAGCTCGATGTGCATGTGTGAGGCAAGCAGATGAAGCGTTATTTCTGGCATTGCCCATGACTGGGTCAGCAGCACAGCCCAAGGGTTCACGAACACGGTCAGAAAAATGGCAGCATCTTGCAATTTTCCATGATGCGTAGAACATCAGGTCTACATGGCATACAAGGCCCCTAGCGATCAGATTCTACCTTGTCTAGCGACATCGCACAACGAGGCAGTCGTACTGTACGCGCGACCTATATTTCGCAAGGCTTGCCCTGACTGAACCCGAATTCTTGGATTCGTTGACTATATAGCCATCAAGCTGTTAAGAAGCACCGCCCATATGCGATTGCAGGCAATTTCTGAAGCTGAGAACGCGGCGTAGTCGAGAACATACCTGGATACACAGGCATGCAGCCAACTCTGAAGAACTTCAGTGAAAGCAGTGTGAAGCAGAAACCCCGCGCTTTCAGGTCGATTGCCCCCCTGCGCACTCCAAGATCCTTCAATTCCAAACCAACACCTTCAGTTGCATGGCCCTGCAAGGGCGGTTGACAACCAAGTTGTTTGTGTCCGTGCCTGTGCACACTACATTACATCATGTTACATTGCACTACACTACACTACACGACACTTCAACACAGTACATGCCAATGTGCTACGTGGCCTTGTGCACAGAAAAATGAACATCGGCCTCCACGTGAAAGCAGGGCCTCTCATATGATCTGAACTGCGATCCTCAGCCCTTTTAAAGCCCGACTCTGCAGGGGAACTCGAAGTCCAACGGCTTGGAGGCGGAGCCCTCCATGCGGGCTGGGTTCAGGCCATCCTGGCTGCCGGATCTGCATCTCAGGCTACTTTCGGGTGAAGGGTTGCACATCTCTACATCCTAGACCACACGCCCATGGAGAGGTCAAGGGATACTGGGCGCCTTACATTTTTGCAGCGAGACCTAGTCCATCCTAAGTCCTAAGGGCAGCAAATGAATGAGGTCTGCGGACACGATGTTGTATAGGATGCTGACCCTAGGCGGGCACGGGAATGCAGGAATGGGATAGACCTGGGATAGATACTGAGGCTGCAGCATCGCCGAAAGCAAACTGCACCACGTCGCTGTTGGAGGTGCGGACGGTAAGGTCATACCTCCGTCAATGAACACAGATCGAGCACGCTTAGCGACAACTGAGCCTAGCAGTCAAGCACCTTACTGTGTTTTACTGCCTTAAGCAGTTAAACCTTGAATCCGTAAAGGGGCCTAAACCCGGTATTCCGAGGTGCTTCAGCGCCAAGTCCTCCAAGGCCTTCATCAGCCGTCGCTGCATGTAGCCAGTCTCCGCCGTCTTCACGGCAGTATCAACCAGTCCCTCACGGCCCCCCATGGTGTGGAAGAAGAACTCCGGAGCCTCCAAGCCTGTGTAGAAGGAGTTCGCCACAAAGCCTCGGGCCTTGGGCTGGGAGCGTATCAAGCCTTGTAGCCTAAACACCAGCCTAAACACCCCCAAGACCCTCAGCTCTTGAAACCCTGAACCCCCCCAAACCCCAACTCCAGAAGCCCAGCAATAGCTACCGGAATAAATAATACCCTCTAGCGTATAAGCCTGAAGCCCTAACGCATGCCCTGACACGGACCTTGGGTTCCTTGGAGCCCTTGGCGAAGTGTGGGAGCGTGCGGTTGACGAAGCCATCCTTGATGCGCTGGCCACCCACGTTCTGCTGGCCCACACAGGCCATCATTTGGCACAAGTTGATGGGACTCCCTTTGGAACCACAGGTTGCCATAATGCGGGGCTTGTTGAAGAATGCCAGCTTCTCTTCGCACATGCCTCCGACCAAGTCACGGATACGTCCGAGCTCGCCATTGACCAAGGCCTCCAGCGTCTGCTCGGCATTGCACCCAGGCTTGTTCTCCAGGGTCCCTTCGTTGTACTGCCCGATGTACTTGGCAACGGTGTCGTACTTGTCCCGGGTGATGCGCTGCTTCTCCTGGGTGACCTTGCCACCCCCCCGCCCGTACTCAGCGTTCACGTCGTCGATGCCAATGGTAAAGCCACGATTCATGAGCCAGCGGCTGGTGAGCTTGGCGATGCGGCTCATGCAGTCCATGGCTGCACGAGCCCCACAATCCCGGATGAGCCGGAAGAAGAGGCCGTTCTTGGCGCCCCCCAGCACTTTCTTGCCCAGGTTGCCGCTCAGCAGCTCGGAGTTGCGGAAGAGCACGTAGCCATCATTGTAGCACAAGGTCTGGTTCTTTTTGGTATAGTTCTTCTCCGGGACCTCGAGGTTCACAAAGACCTTGGACTTCCGATTCGGCCGGAGCATCACCGAGATGGCCTGCTTTCCTGTCCACAGCTCACAGGGCTTTAAGATCGCCGGGGGTGGCAGGTCGATAGGCTCCAAGCAATCTGAGAGGAAGCAGCAAAGCTGGCAGAACTTGTCCCGTGAGAAGAAGACGTCCTTCTGCGTCAGAAGGAAGGCTCCTGTGAGGAAGTCTTGGGTGGCACAGATGGCGACCTCTCCGCTTTTCGGGGTCACCAATCCATCACGAACACCCATGAGCTGCATCGCCTCGGCCCTGGCCTCTTCAGTCTGCGGCAGATGGATGTTCATTTCGTCACCATCAAAATCAGCATTGTAAGGTGCACAAACGCACTCATTGAATCGAAAGGTGCGCCCGGGCATAACTTTGGCCCGGTGCGCCATGATGGACAGCCGATGCAGCGAGGGCTGGCGATTGAAGAGGACGATGTCGCCATTTCGCATGTGGCGCTCGACTAGATCCCCACACTTCAAGCTATCCGCGATCTGCTTGCGGAACTGCTTCCCCAAAGCACCGAGAAACTTGGTCCGACCGTCAGACGTCCGAACGAAGCAGGCTCCAGGATGCTCTTCAGGACCCCTCATGATGGCCATCCTCAGTCGGCTCATGCTCGCTTCACAGACCTTCTCAGGAAACGTCATGCGCTTGGCCACCCACTCGGGTATGACCACCTGCTCGACGCTTACATTGGGATCGGGTGAGATGACGGTCCGGCCTGAGAAGTCCACGCGCTTTCCGCTCAAGTTGCCTCGAAACCGACCCTCCTTTCCCTTGAGCCTTGTGCAGATGGATCGGACAGACTTGCCCTTAATCTGGGTCAGCCCTGACATCTCTGAGTTGACATACCTGGCACAAGCTTCTTGGAGGAACTCCCAGGCCTCGAGCACTTGCCTGGGGAGGCCCCGCTGCAGCTGAGTTTGCAAGGCGGAGTTCGCCTCGACAATCTCCCCAAGGACCATGGTCAGGTCATCCTCCCTGGTGCCTTTGTCGCCCATACTCACCTTAGCTCTTGAGCTCTTTTCCAAAGCTGAGGATGGCCCTCCGGACCTAGACTCGGACTCTCTTCTGCGAAGCTGGAGGACATGTTGCTTTGGGTCTGGCCATCTTCAATGGGTATAGGAAAGACAAGTGGCTGTAGGGCGGATGCAGACAGGCGGAACCGGCAAGGACATCATCAGGAGCTGCTCGGGGTGCTGGAACCCGAGGATCTCGCGGTCACTTGGCGTGATTCGCTTCAGGAGCTCATACCTCGGAAAAAGAAAGTCGGGAAGCAAGGAGGGAACATGAGGAGCTGTGAACATGAATAACCCTGAAGAGCGTCAGAACTGCCAGAAACTGGGGGGCAAGAACCGGTATTGGCCAAAATGCGCAACCAAAGGGTTGAAGTCTTCTGATGCCTTGTCCGTGTAGGACTCCAGATCCTTGTTGAAGGACTTCGCTTCCTGAAAGGAATCGATGAATGGCAGCGACACCTCTTCGGGAGCTTGCTTATTTGTCGGGCCCACGGCGTGTCTCAGGATTAGTGGCACGCCGGGTCCCTTGCGGAAAGAAGTGTTGTGGTAGCCGCAGTGAGGACAAAGCCGGGTGGTCTTGCAGGTGTGCAAGATTCGCTTCTGAAGCAGTTGGCGCTGCAAGTCATCGGTTTGGGGCCGTCTGAGCCGCTTTTTGTACTTCTCCATTGCCTCGACGGACAGCAACAACCTGGCGCAGGACTTGCAAACGGAAGCCAACACCTGGTGTGTATGTCGCAGATATCCGGCATGGAAGACGGGCAGAGCTAGGCTCACATGCCCGAAGTGCCCAACGCACTCGTTCAAGCGTTTGTTGCAGGTGCCACAGAGCACGCTCTTTGAAGAGCTGCCCATGCGTAGGTCCAAGGGGCCGTAGACGAACGGTCGCTCATTCGCCAAATCATACTGCGCGTAGTTCAAGACCTCAACCTCACTATACCGAGATATTTGGTCGGAGCTGAGCACAGAAAAGTTCACGCAGTCCACTTGATAGTTGTTGAAAGCCTCCTGCACGGTTTCTTTCACCAACTTTGATGCACGATCGTCCCCATCTGCTTCTTCCGCATCATCCATGGCTATGTGGAAGACATAACCGAGTTTGGTTGGTGATCCTAGTCTGACTCACTACTTCTCGGGGCGCAACGGCGTGTTTGTTTCGGAGCGACTTCAGCGCAATGTGAGTGAACGCAAGCGAGCCTAAAGCTGCAGCCTTTTCGACAGCATTAGATAGATTCAGGTTGTGCGTTTAGGATTGGTTAGGGTCCAGAGGGGCTAACTACTGGCCAAGGTCTTCAAGCGGCCTCTTCCGATGCAAGTCTTTTGGAGCCTGCTCCGCTGCGATCGTTCGCTTGTTGAAGTGTCTACTCTACTCGGTCTCAGACTCGATTGGCCCTTCGACCTCAGAATGCAGTACGCAGCTAAACCCGACTGCTTGTCCAGCTAACCTGTAGACGCCACCCTCTAGAGACAACTTGCACAACGATCAGAATACAATACGCTGCACTCCCTCCCGCCGCTTCAGGCATCTTAAGACCCAATCTGTTGTGGCCTATGGGCCCACAGGCTCTGGGTAGCAGGCCACATCCACCTCCTCGTCGAACTCGTCCTCTTGCTCTTCCGCCAAGGCGCCCTGGGCCGAATCTGGCTTAAGCTCAACTTCACGTGGAGTTCCTCACAGGATCTTAGGGAGGCTAGTCCGAGAGCGGCTTGAAGTCGCTCTAGAGTCCGTAACTCCCCAACTTCAGACTTTCTACCTGCGGAAGAACCTGCAGTGTCTCGACGTCAGGTGCAAGCGCCCTTTGCACAAAGGGGCTCCTAAACCCGAACCCAAAAGCAACTCTCCTGCCCCCCATCCAGAAAGAAGACTGAGGATTTACGGCTTCAGGCTTACGATTCCACGCCTGGACCTTCAGCATCGCTGGGAGAAACGTGGCCTTGGCGGTCACCAGACCCAGTTTGAGCATGCGGAATGCGTGTCTTTTGGTTAATGCTCCGTTAACTTTTAGTTGAACTTCTGGATGCTGCTGCTGCTGCTGCTGCTGCTGCTGCTGCTGCTGCTGCTGCTGCTGCTGCTGCTGCTGCTTCGCGTCATTAGCATCCCTATTCTGACTACTGTTATCGTTGCAACTATTGTCAGCATCGTTTTCTCTTGGCTCAGTTGTCAGAACTAATATCATCATGGACAATGCAGAGTGAGCTTTTGGCATAGTCACTGCTTCCTTGGCCGCCTCTGGATTATTTGCCTTTTGATGTACACGGTCCAGGACACTTCCTCCCCTCATCATCCATTCCGACCCCAAGAAGTAACACCCTTGCCTATGACCACAAGGCCGTTGAGAGCCTGGAGCTGTCATGACGGGGCGAAACTTAACCCTGAAACCCTGGGACCCCGCTGTAACTTCTGAGCTTGCCGCAAAGGTGATCTTCCGCTGGGGGTTCAAGGAGGTTCCCGTTGGTAGCGGAACATCCAAGAGCGTGGCCAACTCCTGGATAAGCAGTGCTTCTGCCCTTTCCCCTGTATTTTACCGCAAGCGAAGCAAGGGGAGTTCTTCCACGGACTGCGTGTTGCGGATGCAACACTGTGATCGATTTGACTTAAGAGCTCATGACTCCGGATGCCTCTCCTTCTGTTTCCTCATATTTTCCTCGTACTCTCTCTTGTTTAATGATTTAATTGATTTAATTGCTTTGTGGCCGCCGTGAGTAGTTAGGACCCAAGGCAGCTGACAGGTGGCCCCCCTGGCGGTCAGCGAGGAGTTTGCGTCTCTTTCGCTTCAGGACTGTTGCCTTCCTTTGGACGACTTGGCTCATTTCCTCTGACTCTTCTCTTGCCTTCTCTTAGTTTGGTTCAAATGTTGCCTTGGAATACCTGCTCCGACGACAACACTGCTGATGATGATAATGATCGCGCTTGTGGTGGAGTTCCTTGTTTGCTAATGGTTTCGGGACATCCTTTGTCTAGTCATCTGGCGGCTGTGTATCTGTTCAGCCAAGGAGGGGGTGTAACATGCCACAGTCTCCAAGGACAGGGACCAAGTTCGTCGCCAGCTTCAGTCGACCAGCCTTGTCGGGCGGTCGTGGTACCCCAACCTTGTCCAGGATGGCGACGAAGTCCTCCAATGCATGCTCGTGTGTCTCAAGTTATGTGGGTCGGCTTGGCGCGTGCAAGTACAGACAGTCCAGCTAGAACCAGTTGTGGCGCTCCGAGGTAGCCCTGAAACCAAAACACAAGAAGGACGCCCTTCTCTTTTCTCTGCTGGTTGTTTTCGGAAAGGAACGAAAGGAACACCTAGCCGCGAAACCGCCATGGTAAGCTACACTTGGGAGCCGCGAGCTTTCGAATCCGTTTGTCAAGCCCTACTGGCTTCTTTCTGCCTTGACATCTACAGTTCCTGGCCACCTCACAGGCCCTTCGCCTGAGAGGGCTCTGGGTTCTCTGGCTTGGGCTGCTCAACGCCTTGACATCCGTCACGAACTGGCCCCCTCTCCCCTCTGCCCCCCCTTTGTTTTCACCAGCACCGAAGCTTGAAACTGAAAGTGTCAACCTAACCCTCCTCCCTCCCCGCCTTGACCATCATGACTTCCTGGTTTTTCCTCTCGACGTACACCTGCTGCAGATTACACCACTACAAAAAAATTGCATTCTGCATTCGGGAAACGAACATGTTCAAAATCATACGAGCCATGCTTGAAGGTTCATGGGGTAGATACTGGTAGTTCATGAGATACTCATTTTGAGCAATTGTGCCCATACTATGAGGCCACTTACAGTACATATACAACCCTGCTTCAACCCCACTCTGGTGTTACGGCCTGAGGTTCAGGGTAAAACCAAACTCCGAACCACGTAACCGCTAACCACTTCTATCGGCACAAACTCCCCTAAACCTGGTGAGTTCGTTGATACAGCCGCTGCCAGCCGAACCCCCCAAAAGCTCCACACGCTGCCGAATCCTCATAGAGCCAAACCCCAAACCCCGAAATATGCCCCAAAGCCTGGTGCAGTTCCCGGACAGTCGACAATTCGCAACCATGCTGGTCGGCCAGGGCCTACGCTTCAAGAGCTCGAAGGGGGCATAAAGGGTGTAGAGTTGCCTAGGGCTCTGGGAGTTGTCACGATGTAGGTCGTTTGAGGTTGCTGGGCCTTCTTGCTCAGTTGGCTCGCTTCTTGCAGGGCCCCCATATACCCCAAGTTCCCCAAGATGCCTTAAAACACCCCCGTAGTAACCCCAGCACCAGCCCAAAGGCGGCTATTGTCGTAGTCGTAGTCGCTCTACTCCTCTCTGAAAGGCTTCACCCCTGTTGCCACCCAATCCTCCTAAGCTTCAAACCCCTAAACCTTGGGCCTCGAACCCTTGACTTTGAAATGAAACCCGAAGCCCTAAACCCAAAACCCTCGGCCTCAGACCCCTCTACCTTTTTATTTGTGTGCCCACAGAGGCCTGTTCGACCTGAAGCTCCTCCTGGTGTACCAACCTGGGCTCTACTATGTCCAGGTCCCCTACAATTCGGGTCACCTCATCGAGGGCAGAAAGACCAGAAACAAAATGTCTACACCGAATTAAATGCAGGCTTCTTAGAAAGATGGGGCCCAAGTCGGAGGCTTGTTGTTCTTGTTGTTTGGGACCGTGTTCGTGGTTGACACTTCCTAGGCTGCCGGTCGCAGAAGTGGAGAAATGGCCGCAAGGCGCGCGGGTCTGCAGGCCGGCGTGATTGCTACAACTCTGCCATTGCCGGTGCATCTCCCCAACAATTGAGAAACTCATACTAGGTAACAAACAGGTAGTTTAGGGCTTCGGCTTAGTCTTCTGCAAAACTGCACTTGCAACCGATAAATCCCAAAGCATAAAGCTGAGCTTCGCTTGCACGTATTGGTTCTGTGGATAGGATGATAAGAATGGAAAACTCCTGCACAAGGCACCAGGTTCAGGGCTTGGGGAGCCAACCATAGTGATCGTTTGACACCCGTGAAGACTCTGGCTCAAGATGCTCTGTTCTTTCTCGGTGGCGAGGGGCAGTTAGTGAGGCGGTTGGGGAGAGGGGGAACTGCCAACTTGGGTTTAAAAACAATTCGATGTCGGCTAAACCTTTACCGAAATCCCCAGCCGTAAAATCTTTTCCCTGACCTTCACCTGAAACGGGCTCCCCGGCTCCCTGCAGGTTGAGGCCATGGCCTGTGGCGAGAATCTCATACTCCCAGACATCTGCACATGTCGTACCTAGTGGCCTAGTGACCACGCCTCAAAAATGTTTTGCTCTGACAAAGATCCTTTGGGGCTTTGAGGCTTTCTAGTATCCGAAAGGCACTCGAGGTGAGAGCAGTCTTTGAGCCAGGTCTTTCAGGATCTCAGCCCCTTCGAGGCTTAGGGGGTTCGAAAGGAACCCTAAACCCAATTAGTAGGATGGTTAGGATTCAGAATTAAGGATCCGAGGTCCACTTTCCACCTCGAAACAATTGAAGCAAAACCCTGGACCCTCCCGGCCAGAAACTCCATCAGTCGCCAGCCACCGCGGCGATGCTTCAGCGGATTCTTGATGCCATCGACCTGGATGCTAGGGTCTCATGAGTTTTTTGGGGCTTCACAAAGGGTGCTTCTTGTCTGGAGCTGGACGAGAGGTTGCAGAAAAAAACAGCGCCGCAGTGCTTGGGTTCGGGTTTCTGCACCATGTGACGCCAGCAGGTCAAGGCTTGGTCTTTGGGCCTCGTAGTCGTCCTCCTCGCTGCGGAATCTTTCCATGACCACTTCTTGTACCTGCTGAGGGAGGCATGGGAAGCTGGTAGCCTGGCTCTTCGAGCACTAGGCCCGAACATCTTGCCAAGCGAAACCTTTCAGAGGCTGCCACATCCTTGATCTGCTCCCGCTCTCGGAACGTCGTGGGCTTGATATCCACCTGCACTACTGGGTTCGATCCCCCGAATCCAAGTCTTGCCATCCAGATCCCCAGTCAAGAGGGTAAAGAGGCTCGAAGAGACACGAACGCAGCCGACGACGAGAGGGGGCTCTCTTGTAGAAAGCACAGAACCTGCCGCTTGGCTATTGTTGCTGCTCCATGCTGCTGCCATACCCCTTCCCTCGACTAGCGGCCTGGAGATGAAGACTATTTCCAAAAAAAGCTCGGTAGTGGTAGGCTGCGAGGGGGCCCACGGCAGTGGAGAACAAAGCGTCCCGCCGATGCCCGTAGTTTTTAACTTCTTGTGTGTCTCACGCGGAATCCCGGAATGCAGCTCCAAAAACGCAGAAAACCGCCCATCTTATGTGTGCTTGTAGTTGCCCGCATGCTTGAGAATTCTCATGTCCGGCAACATAATACTTCCAACACCATTGACTCAAGCATGCAGATGCAACTCTATGTGCGACGATCACGGAACTGTTACCATCATTGGTAGTGGTTCATGAGAGATTTAGCCTGCGGTATGCATCAATGCATAATCAGACTTTTCCAACAGCCTTCCTTCTGCTGCCCAAAAGGAACCTTCGCCCTTCGCACCCGAACCAGCCCCAAGATGCTTCACTCGAAACCGCCGAGACCCCAAACGACACTAAGCCCACGCCTCAGCCAGAGCCCGCAGCAAAGCCTGCTTTCGAGGGGCTCAGTGGGGGTCCGGCGGTTGGCGCTTGTAAGGTTGGCGTCTGAACTCCATGCGTACACACGTGGGCTTTCTGATGCTTCGTACCACGCATAACAGAACGATACCCAGTACAACAAGGGTACTATGTTCCAGGCCAACAGAACTTTGTGGTCAGCCGACAAATTCCACAAACTTCCATAAGCCCAAGCAGGCCTCACTGCGTAGAAAACCAGGTGTCCTCTCTGCATGCTTCCAAAACACCTCCGTAAGTGTCTCCTGTGCAGGCGGCTGTTGCTAATGCTGCTAGTTAATCATCAATCCGTCGCTGGAAGGTCTTATCCAGTTCAAGACCAGGGTTGATGTCACAAGCCCAGTTTCCTAACGACAGTTTCATAAACCAGTCGGCAGTGGGGCTGGAAACTTGCGTCCGTCTAGGACTTAATTATGCAGCTGACTCCTGCAACGCCGTCAAGGATTTTCTTTGCACCGCTGGCCGTTTTGGCAGCGGCTCCGGAAACTTGAACACAATCACAACCACTGCAGCGTTGTCTGCCTTGCTGACCCTGCCCGCATTTTGCAGGATCGAAACTGCGGCATCCTCCGGCTTTGCCGTGGTTCGGAGTGCCTTGCGGGCATGAGTCAGAGCAAACTGCTCTTTTAGTGCATCCCAGATGCCATCTGACCCAATCATGATGAAGTCGACGGCGTCATCAATCGCCACCCGGAACACCTCAGGCTCGTTCATGATGCCATTCACCTTGATGCCAGTGTGGAGGCGCACGTTGCCCAGGGCTCTTGATACCGCAACGTGCTCGTCAACATAGCCGGCTTCCACGCTGACCCCCGCATTCTTCAACCGTTCTGCCTCAGCCGCGTTCTTCTCCGGGGCGTGGTCACACGAAATTGCAGTTGCGGTGCCATCATTGGACACTACAGCGCGGCAATCACCCAGATTGGCAATCCACATCTCCTTGTTCTTTAGCAAGCCAAGACAAGCTACTGTCCCCGAAGATGTTTGTAGGTCAGCCATGTCAGCCGTGGCCTTGTTCTCCAAGAGGGCTTGCATGACCTCCTCATCTGCAGCTTGGAATGCAGCTTTGATGGCCCCCTCCACGTCCGCAGCATCCTGGAGGTAGCGTCCCAAGATTCTGGGGAGATTTTCCTTCGCGAGCATGACAGCTGCACTCCCTGCGTGTCCGTCATAGACTGCAAAGAGCCTAAATCCAGCAACGTCTTCTCGGATGTCGATGGCATCTTCCATCCTTGCGCGTTCATTCTTGGCTACGGCGTAGCCATAATCAACTCCCCCTCCAGACTCCTCCTCGGGGAGGAGGTTTGCAGCTTTGTCCCTGCCGAGGCAGGTGCACAGGTGGCTAAGAAGCCACCACATTCCGTCTTATGGAAGCGGGTGGGCTTGCACCTACAAACTGACGGGGCCTGGCAGGGCTCGATCCGACGAGAATGAACATGCATGAACATGCGCACGGGCGTGTTCGTGGCATGAAACTGAAACGGATGCAACACCTCATTCTGGCAACTGACTCAGTACGACTGCGCCCAACCTGTTTCCTTTCAAAGGCAGATCATATTGCTGGTCGGCTTGCAATCGACATGTCCTGGCTCGCCTGATCGCACCCCCACGGCCCCTCCCGCAGCTCAGAAACTTCTGTGATTGCCCTACTGATTGAGCATATTAATGGGTGCTCTCGAAGCGGCCGTGCGCTGCGCTGGAAACTTGTGTCCGTCTAGGACTTAATTATGCAGCTGACTCCTGCAACGCCGTCAAGGATTTTCTTTGCACCGCTGGCCGTTTTGGCAGCGGCTCCGGAAACTTGAACACAATCACAACCACTGCAGCGTTGTCTGCCTTGCTGACCCTGCCCGCATTTTGCAGGATCGAAACTGCGGCATCCTCCGTCTTTGCCGTGGTTCGGAGTGCCTTGCGGGCATGAGTCAGAGCAAACTGCTCTTTTAGTGCATCCCAGATGCCATCTGACCCAATCATGATGAAGTCGACGGCGTCATCAATCGCCACCCGGAACACCTCAGGCTCATTCGTGATGCCATTCACCTTGATGCCACTGTGGAGGCGCACGTTGCCCAAGGCTCTTGATACCGCAACGTGCTCGTCAACATAGCCGGCTTCCACGCTGACCCCCGCATTCTTCAACCGTTCTGCCTCAGCCGCGTTCTTCTCCGGGGCGTGGTCACACGAAATTGCAGCTGCGGTGCCATCATTGGACACTACAGCGCGGCAATCACCCAGATTGGCAATCCACATCTCCTTGTTCTTTAGCAAGCCAAGACAAGCTACTGTCCCCGAAGATGTTTGTAGGTCAGCCATGTCAGCCGTGGCCTTGTTCTCCAAGAGGGCTTGCATGACCTCCTCATCTGCAGCTTGGAATGCAGCTTTGATGGCCCCCTCCACGTCCGCAGCGTCCTGGAGGTAGCGTCCCAAGATTCTGGGGAGATTTTCCTTCGCGAGCATGACAGCTGCACTCCCTGCGTGTCCGTCATAGACTGCAAAGAGCCTAAATCCAGCAACGTCTTCTCGGATGTCGATGGCATCTTCCATCCTTGCGCGTTCATTCTTGGCTACGGCGTAGCCATAATCAACTCCCCCTCCAGACTCCTCCTCGGGGAGGAGGTTTGCAGCTTTGTCCCTGCCGAGGCAGGTGCACAGGTGGCTAAGAAGCCACCACATTCCGTCTTATGGAAGCGGGTGGGCTTGCACCTACAAACTGACGGGGCCTGGCAGGGCTCGATCCGACGAGAATGAACATGCATGAACATGCGCACGGGCGTGTTCGTGGCATGAAACTGAAACGGATGCAACACCTCATTCTGGCAACTGACTCAGTACGACTGCGCCCAACCTGTTTCCTTTCAAAGGCAGATCATATTGCTGGTCGGCTTGCAATCGACATGTCCTGGCTCGCCTGATCGCACCCCCACGGCCCCTCCCGCAGCTCAGAAACTTCTGTGATTGCCCTACTGATTGAGCATATTAATGGGTGCTCTCGAAGCGGCCGTGCGCTGCGCTGGAAACTTGTGTCCGTCTAGGACTTAATTATGCAGCTGACTCCTGCAACGCCGTCAAGGATTTTCTTTGCACCGCTGGCCGTTTTGGCAGCGGCTCCGGAAACTTGAACACAATCACAACCACTGCAGCGTTGTCTGCCTTGCTGACCCTGCCCGCATTTTGCAGGATCGAAACTGCGGCATCCTCCGGCTTTGCCGTGGTTCGGAGTGCCTTGCGGGCATGAGTCGAAGCAAACTGTTCTTTTAGTGCATCCCAGATGCCATCTGACCCAATCATGATGAAGTCGACGGCGTCATCAATCGCCACCCGGAACACCTCAGGCTCATTCGTGATGCCATTCACCTTGATGCCACTGTGGAGGCGCACGTTGCCCAAGGCTCTTGATACCGCAACGTGCTCGTCAACATAGCCGGCTTCCACGCTGACCCCCGCATTCTTCAACCGTTCTGCCTCAGCCGCGTTCTTCTCCGGGGCGTGGTCACACGAAATTGCAGCTGCGGTGCCATCATTGGACACTACAGCGCGGCAATCACCCAGATTGGCAATCCACATCTCCTTGTTCTTTAGCAAGCCAAGACAAGCTACTGTCCCCGAAGATGTTTGTAGGTCAGCCATGTCAGCCGTGGCCTTGTTCTCCAAGAGGGCTTGCATGACCTCCTCATCTGCAGCTTGGAATGCAGCTTTGATGGCCCCCTCCACGTCCGCAGCGTCCTGGAGGTAGCGTCCCAAGATTCTGGGGAGATTTTCCTTCGCGAGCATGACAGCTGCACTCCCTGCGTGTCCGTCATAGACTGCAAAGAGCCTAAATCCAGCAACGTCTTCTCGGATGTCGATGGCATCTTCCATCCTTGCGCGTTCATTCTTGGCTACGGCGTAGCCATAATCAACTCCCCCTCCAGACTCCTCCTCGGGGAGGAGGTTTGCAGCTTTGTCCCTGCCGAGGCAGGTGCACAGGTGGCTAAGAAGCCACCACATTCCGTCTTATGGAAGCGGGTGGGCTTGCACCTACAAACTGACGGGGCCTGGCAGGGCTCGATCCGACGAGAATGAACATGCATGAACATGCGCACGGGCGTGTTCGTGGCATGAAACTGAAACGGATGCAACACCTCATGCTGGCAACTGACTCAGTACGACTGCGCCCAACCTGTTTCCTTTCAAAGGCAGATCATATTGCTGGTCGGCTTGCAATCGACATGTCCTGGCTCGCCTGATCGCACCCCACGGCCCCTCCCGCAGCTCGGAAACTTCTTCGAAGCGGCCGTGCGCTGCGCTGGAAGCTTGTGTCCGTCTAGGACTTAATTATGCAGCTGACTCCTGCAACGCCGTCAAGGATTTTCTTTGCACCGCTGGCCGTTTTGGCAGCGGCTCCGGAAACTTGAACACAATCACAACCACTGCAGCGTTGTCTGCCTTGCTGACCCTGCCCGCATTTTGCAGGATCGAAACTGCGGCATCCTCCGGCTTTGCCGTGGTTCGGAGTGCCTTGCGGGCATGAGTCAGAGCAAACTGTTCTTTTAGTGCATCCCAGATGCCATCTGACCCAATCATGATGAAGTCGACGGCGTCATCAATCGCCACCCGGAACACCTCAGGCTCATTCGTGATGCCATTCACCTTGATGCCACTGTGGAGGCGCACGTTGCCCAGGGCTCTTGATACCGCAACGTGCTCGTCAACATAGCCGGCTTCCACGCTGACCCCCGCATTCTTCAACCGTTCTGCCTCAGCCGCGTTCTTCTCCGGGGCGTGGTCACACGAAATTGCAGCTGCGGTGCCATCATTGGACACTACAGCGCGGCAATCACCCAGATTGGCAATCCACATCTCCTTGTTCTTTAGCAAGCCAAGACAAGCTACTGTCCCCGAAGATGTTTGTAGGTCAGCCATATCAGCCGTGGCCTTGTTCTCCAAGAGGGCTTGCATGACCTCCTCATCTGCAACTTGGAATGCAGCTTTGATGGCCCCCTCCACGTCCGCAGCGTCCTGGAGGTAGCGTCCCAAGATTCTGGGGAGATTTTCCTTCGCGAGCATGACAGCTGCACTCCCTGCGTGTCCGTCATAGACTGCAAAGAGCCTAAATCCAGCAACGTCTTCTCGGATGTCGATGGCATCTTCCATCCTTGCGCGTTCATTCTTGGCTACGGCGTAGCCATAATCAACTCCCCCTCCAGACTCCTCCTCGGGGAGGAGGTTTGCAGCTTTGTCCCTGCCGAGGCAGGTGCACAGGTGGCTAAGAAGCCACCACATTCCGTCTTATGGAAGCGGGTGGGCTTGCACCTACAAACTGACGGGGCCTGGCAGGGCTCGATCCGACGAGAATGAACATGCATGAACATGCGCACGGGCGTGTTCGTGGCATGAAACTGAAACGGATGCAACACCTCATGCTGGCAACTGACTCAGTACGACTGCGCCCAACCTGTTTCCTTTCAAAGGCAGATCATATTGCTGGTCGGCTTGCAATCGACATGTCCTGGCTCGCCTGATCGCACCCCACGGCCCCTCCCGCAGCTCGGAAACTTCTTCGAAGCGGCCGTGCGCTGCGCTGGAAACTTGCGTCCGTCTAGGACATAATTATGCAGCTGACTCCTGCAACGCCGTCAAGGATTTTCTTTGCACCGCTGGCCGTTTTGGCAGCGGCTCCGGAAACTTGAACACAATCACAACCACTGCAGCGTTGTCTGCCTTGCTGACCCTGCCCGCATTTTGCAGGATCGAAACTGCGGCATCCTCCGGCTTTGCCGTGGTTCGGAGTGCCTTGCGGGCATGAGTCAGAGCAAACTGCTCTTTTAGTGCATCCCAGATGCCATCTGACCCAATCATGATGAAGTCGACGGCGTCATCAATCGCCACCCGGAACACCTCAGGCTCGTTCATGATGCCATTCACCTTGATGCCAGTGTGGAGGCGCACGTTGCCCAGGGCTCTTGATACCGCAACGTGCTCGTCAACATAGCCGGCTTCCACGCTGACCCCCGCATTCTTCAACCGTTCTGCCTCAGCCGCGTTCTTCTCCGGGGCGTGGTCACACGAAATTGCAGTTGCAGTGCCATCATTGGACACTACAGCGCGGCATTCTTTAGCAAGCCAAGACAAGCTACTGTCCCCGAAGATGTTTGTAGGTCAGCCATGTCAGCCGTGGCCTTGTTCTCCAAGAGGGCTTGCATGACCTCCTCATCTGCAGCTTGGAATGCAGCTTTGATGGCCCCCTCCACGTCCGCAGCGTCCTTGAGGTAGCGTCCCAAGATTCTGGGGAGATTTTCCTTTGCGAGCATGACAGCTGCACTCCCTGCGTGTCCGTCATAGACTGCAAAGAGCCTAAACCCAGCAACGTCTTCTCGGATGTCGATGGCATCTTCCATCCTTGCGCGTTCATTCTTGGCTACGGCGTAGCCATAATCAACTCCCCCTCCAGACTCCTCCTCGGGGAGGAGGTTTGCAGCTTTGTCCCTGCCGAGGCAGGTGCACAGGTGGCTAAGAAGCCACCACATTCCGTCTTATGGAAGCGGGTGGGCTTGCACCTACAAACTGACGGGGCCTGGCAGGGCTCGATCCGACGAGAATGATCATGCATCATGCGCACGGGCGTGCTCGTGGCATGAAACTGAAACGGATGCAACACCTCATGCTGGCAACTGACTCAGTACGACTGCGCCCAACCTGTTTCCTTTCAAAGGCAGATCATATTGCTGGTCGGCTTGCAATCGACATGTCCTGGCTCGCCTGATCGCACCCCACGGCCCCTCCCGCAGCTCGGAAACTTCTTCGAAGCGGCCGTGCGCTGCGCTGGAAACTTGCGTCCGTCTAGGACATAATTATGCAGCTGACTCCTGCAACGCCGTCAAGGATTTTCTTTGCACCGCTGGCCGTTTTGGCAGCGGCTCCGGAAACTTGAACACAATCACAACCACTGCAGCGTTGTCTGCCTTGCTGACCCTGCCCGCATTTTGCAGGATCGAAACTGCGGCATCCTCCGGCTTTGCCGTGGTTCGGAGTGCCTTGCGGGCATGAGTCAGAGCAAACTGCTCTTTTAGTGCATCCCAGATGCCATCTGACCCAATCATGATGAAGTCGACGGCGTCATCAATCGCCACCCGGAACACCTCAGGCTCGTTCATGATGCCATGCACCTGGATATGTGGAAGCGCACGTTGCCCAGGGCTCTTGATACCGCAACGTGCTCGTCATCGTAGCCGGCTACGTTGACGAGCAGAACGGTTGAAGAACTGCAATTTCCCGTGACCACGCCCCGGAAAAGAATGCGGCTGAAGCAGAACGCTTGAAGAATTCAGGGGTCGCAGCCGGCTTGGACGCCGACCCCTGATTTCTTCAAATGTTCTGCTTCAGCCGCATTCTTTTCCGCGGCATGGTCACGGGAAATTGCAGCTGCGGTGCCATCATTGGACACTAGCCCGGCAAACACCCAGGTTTGCAATCCACATGCAAACGTGACAGCTTCACTCCCTGCGTGTCCGTCATAGACTGCAAAGATCCTGTATCCAGCAACGTCTTCTTTGACGTCAGATGGCATCTTCCATTTCGATCGCTCATTCTTGTCTACTGTACGGCATAGCCGCTATGCGTAGCCGCTACGCAGAACAAGTTGTGTCTGTGGTAGTGTGTAACTCAAGAATTCTTATCTTGAGCCCATGCCGCAGACTCGGTAGAGTGTGCACCATGTTGTTGACTCGGCTTCTGGGCCATAGTACTACCATCTACTACCAAGTCAGATAGCTCCTTCCGACCGGCGCCCACTCCCAGCAGCTTCATCGTGTAGTCCACCATCTCCTCACCACAAGAATCTGAGGTTACCCAATGTGCTCTGAGAAAAAAGCGTGCAGTATTCTCACAATGTACTGTATGACTGTATGCTTTGCCCTGGTCCAGACATCCTGAACCTTTAGACCTGTCACAGACCGAAGGCTGCCACCCTAAGACCCCTATAGTATAGGGGGCCTACATAACTAGAGCAGGGGCTTCTGCAGGGCGATTCCAGTATAGCAAAAAAAGGCACCATAAGGGACTACTATGATTACTATCAGCAACTGATCCGACCCCCAAAAATCGACGCCCCGCATGCCCATGGCGGGGAGCCCGTCGCATGACGGCCCCACGCGTCTCCTCGATGTGCTGCCGTGCCTGCCTCGCATGCAGACTGCCCCCTCATCTTAAACCTGCAGAGCCTAAACCCTAAACCCTAAACCCCAAACCCTCAAACCTAAACCCTGAACCCGGAGCCTCTGGCATTAGCATTCACTGCTCAAGCTCGGCAGGGGGGATTCTTCCACACATGCCGTTTGGGTGCCCAAATTGCAACTTCTGCAAAAGATCCAAGGCTTCACTTGTCACCAGCCTTCTATCCTCCTTGGACTTCTTCTTCTGCTTTGACCTGGGAACGCTTCTGCAGAGTTAACCTAACTTGCGGGGCCCTTTTCGGATATAGATTCAGGTACATTCCTCATAGCTCGGGGCCGACCCCAAAAAAGCTGTGTCTCTAACTTGTTGCAACCAAGATTCCAAAACGGACCCGTATGTCGTAGTTCATTGTCCGATCCCCCAATGGCCCCCTATCTACCCCCGAAGCCGAAGAGAAACCAGGCCCAGCCCTAATGCTGAATGCTGAATGCTGAATTATGTAGGCCCCACTGCCCCTTCCCCCCCCTCCCCCGCAACAAAGTGGTATTTTCGGCATGTCAAGCGCACGAAACACTGTGAATACCGATGGTATCGGCACATGCAAAACGCGCGTTTACGGCACGTCGGGGCCAACCTCAAGAGAATCTCAGAAGACGAAGAACTTTTCAGAAGAATCGCAGAAGGGTTCGCAGCACGTTCCTTCAGTTTGATTAAGCGCAGGAGGACACATGCAGAGAAATGAAAGGGAAAAGAACTGAAGTTTGTCTTTCAGGTGTATAAGGGTTTAGGGTTTAGGGGTGAAGCTTGCGCTGTAGCAAGTTTCGCGGGGGATCCAGCCAGTAGTACTATACGGCATCGGGCGAAGCAGCTTGACTACCCACATTGAAAACTGATTGCCTGACCTGGCTCAGAACGACTTAGAAAATGGAATCTTAGCTGTAGGGCTGGCTTCAGCCTGAGACCTTAAGCCTACCTTACTTCAGGCCTTCGGCCTCTCTAGGGTTTAGATTTTCAGAAGGCAGGAAACATTCCAGAAGGATCATGACAATGCGATCCCGTTCTACTACATCATCGGAAACACACCACCATTCCAGACTTATCAGCGCAGAACATTACCCTTCATGTTTCCTAGGACTACTTTTAGGGCCTTGTGCAGAGGTACTTTGGGTGGATGGAAGAAGGCGATAGGTAGGACTCGGGTAGGACTCCACGCATGAACCCTAAAGAAACTAGAGGTGCCCCTCTGGGAGTGTGGGACTCTCGGATATCCCCCGATTTTGTTTTTGAGGGCGCATACCTTCTTTCCGTGTCCCGGCGCCCCAGAATTGGGATTCAGGGTCTCTAAGGCCTACGATGGTAGGGTTGAGGGGTTTGGGTTTGAGTCAATGTAACCCTACGCCGTACGCCTAAACCCGAAGCCCCTCTGACCTACCGAATCTCAGCTGGCTTATGTTAACACATTGGCAACTTACCTCCTTGAGCAGCCCACCTCATGCGATGCCCGAGCCTACAGATCCTACAGTTCTTTGTCAGCTGCGGAGCATCACACGACGCCCGGCAGTTGTGGACTGACGTCACTTAAGATGTTGTAAACTTGAGCTTGCGTCCGCCTGCAGGCATGGGTCCAGACCCAATGCAGCTAAGCCACGCAGACCGCTTCTTGTTGACAGACAGGTTGCTGCTCACGCTAATGGTTTTCGTGTCCGCGCGCCTTCCGAGATGTTTTTCGGGCTGCGCGTGGCCGACTGGTTACTGGTTCAAACAGATGGCTGATGGCCTCTCTGCATCCTCCGCAGTCCAGTTGGCACTGAATCGCCTGCGAAGCTCAGTTAGGTGCCCAAGCTAGTCGAAGGGAGAGAGGGTCAAGGGTTGAGCGAGTCGGCTTTTGGGGGTGTAGGAAAGATGTGCAAGTGCCACTGGACAAAGTTGGCGGGTGCTTTCAGCAGCGTGTACGTGCTTGCACAGCAGAGTCCATGGTATACCTATATACGTGTATGCTACATCCTCGCTTCTCCCTGTGCATGCGTTCCTCGAGAAGTGCTTCTCGAAGGTCATGGTCAACTTTCGCTTTACTTCATTCTCCTGGCATCCGAGGCATGAGAAAAGACTACGTTACAGCACAATCATCCGAAACCCGTGTGACACTGTGTGGGGTCCTTTGCGCAAGGAAGCCTACTCGAAGGCTATGCCGGAGTGTAGACACGAACAGTGTAACTCGACTGAGCATTCCACGAGCGTCCCAAAAGGATTGCACTTCACTTCACGAGAAGCATGTGCCCGAGACCGAGAAGGAGCGCCAGCTGCAACGCTGCGAAAATTCCCTTCAAACAGATGCACGGGCCAAACCTTTCAAGAGCCCGAGGCAAGTATTCCTCTGCCAGCATCTGCCACATAGTGGCGACGCGACACGGAGCGATGCAAGCTTCAAAACTGCTTCAAAAAAACTGGATGGGACCAGCACGGGAGTGCAAATGGGACTCGGGAACGTGCACAGGACCTACTGTAGGCGAGAGTGCGATTTGACACGTTGGGTGGCGCCAAAACCTTGGGCTGTTCCATGACAACTCGACCCTGGAATCTCGGTCAAGCCAAGGTGCCTAGGCCCTAGGCGAGTGCGCGACTCGGACCCAAACAAGAGCTGCCACGGGTCACCTCAACCAGGCCCTCCTTCCGAAATACTCTGAACTGAACGTCATAGGTTGCCCAGCTGTTTTGGGAAACTTCCTTGAAAGAGGCTTCAGAAAACCCATCCTATCTCCATAGAGTCGGTAAAGAACCATGCTCAAGAGACGCTGAGGACCAGGAGCCTTGTTACTATTCAGGGGTCTCCCACGGTCTCCCACCCCTGCTTCCCTTGCCCAGCGCGCCGTTGGCTCTTCCACGATATCGTCCTCTTCGGCCATTCTGATGTCATCGATGTTCAAACGCCTCCAAAGCCGCGTCGAACGGATCCGAATACGCGGCCTCTCAACGTCCAACTGAGCTGCGCACATCTGACCAAGCTTGACCTTCACCTGAGCTGCGCTTTGAAAGGTTCATCAAGGCCTGGTAGGGGTTTTGAGGGCTGAAGAGGGTAACGCTGGGCATCCTCCAAATATGCCAGCTGCCAAACATTGAGACCTTTCATCCCATCGATCCCAAGACCCCGACCTGAATTCATGGACCCAACCCTAAACTGATCCACTTCGGGCACTCTGGACCAGAAATCGTTGAAACATCTCTTACCCTTAAAGGAGGATGCTCGGTAGCATCTGAAACCCTGGTACAAGTAGCTGAGGCAAGCGCCGGAGGGGGAGGCCAGGGTTTGTTCATGGACCAGGCCGGTACCACAACCAGGTTAAACTTCTTGGCGGCGCGGACCGGGTCGTTCCCTACCTCAAGTGACGCTTGCAGCCGCATCGCTTTAGGAGCCAGAAGTTGGCATCTTGACTCGCAGGATTCGAAGTTCAGAGCGTCGCAGCGTGTGAAGACCGGAAATCTAAGGCAAGGGGGTTGGGGGTTTTGGTCCCAGCTGCTTGGGATAGGCATGGAACATCGGGGGGATTGGCTCCAAGCGCCGAGCGATTTTCCCCAGGGTGGTGTTGGAGGCCACCTGCAGACAGCAAAAAGCCATCCCCGGCAAACTGTTTGCAGTGCGGGGTGTGTTGACATCCGCCAGTGTGTGGAGCCCAAAACTCTTTTGGTGTTTTGGGGGCTTGCAGGGATGGGGGGAACTGACGTGACGAAACCCATCTCCAGTGACCTGTCGGCATGTCCTGTCGGCCTCTCTGAACTTCCTGTTCTGGATCTTGGCACCTCGGAGGGCAACAGCTCAAAAAAACACCAACGCTGGAGAGTTCGGATAATTCGGGAAGCTGCAGAACTGCACGGGACCTCATGCCCCCCACCCCCGCATCCCCGCCCCCTACTTGCAATGGCGAATCAAGAAGCTCACAACCTGAGGGCTTGAAGGGGGTTGAAAGGGTTGGGGGAGGGGAGGGTGTTATGGGGGCCTGTGGGGGCTGACAGGAGCTTATGCGCTAAGACCTTCTGGTAGCATTCTCTGAGCTGGAATAGGGTCGGGGCTGCAGCCGCCATCCCGATTCTACTCGAGCTAAGGCCAAAGCTCAACTTGCAGGTGTTCTCCGCACTACTCAGCATGGCCTCAGCAGTGGCTGCAGCCAACAAATTGCAGTGAGCTCGTGCTTGCGTCTGAGTTTTTGCAGCGGCTGCTTCCAAGAACCTCGACCCACCCTCCGAAAGAATTTCAGAAGCCGGAACTTGGACGACTGAGCACGGCGACTGCCAGCGACTCTTTGGCGGAAGGGCCCTGTCAGATTCCACAATCCAGCGTCCAACGCAAAAGGCACTTACCTTCCAAAACGCTGCTCTGCACTGGGACTTCGAAGCGTGCCAGAGGCAAAACCTGCTAAACCCAGAATTATCCTAGAAACCTCCGAATCTCATCAGAATCGCCAAAAACCTACCTCCGCAACTTGCCCCTGAACCTGGCGCTCACTATCCGGCTCCTGGTCCTGGGTCATGTGGATGGTGTTGGACCGAGAAGGACCAGACCTGAACCGCCACCCCCCCCTCTCCCCAGATTTATCGAACCAGGACTCCTGCTGTGTTGAGAGGAGCTTTGAGCTTTGAGTATACTCTCAACCTTTGGTCTGGGAAACCCCTAAACCCTACAGACAAAAAACCCAAACTCCTAAGCCAGCTTAGCCAATTAGAAAACCAATCCACCCCCCAACAAACATTTGCCTCTGGCAACGTACCTTTCGGGCCTCGACGGCCGGTACCCTGTTCCTGCATCCGGTTCTGGTCAGTTCTCTCTGACTCTGAATTATGGACCCCCCTTTGTCGTCCCCGTTCTTCAGATGCTCCGCGCCGAAATTTGGGCACGAATCTTGAGAACAAACCATCTGGCTTCAAACTCTTGGCACATCCCCAATGGACACGACGACTCTTCGGATGACAGGTCCCCCGGGCCGGACAATCATTAACATTGCAAAAATAACTATGGAATAGCCTTTGCCTGTCTAGATTGTAAAAACTTGCTGCAGTCTGACCCAAGAATCTTCTAACCCTATCTCTCTCACACCCGTGGCCACGAAGCCTCTTAAAACATCGTCAATAGCGCACCTCCTGCTACAACGACCATACTTAAGCTGCAGCAGGCGAGCGCCGAACCTCCGGAGCCCAGAAGCCGAGTTTTGCCGGTACAGTTTCCCCTCCAGACACCCCTCTGACCATGCTGAGCCATCCGCAGGCGCCGCGTTCCCTGTGAGGACAGACTTCGCCTGTCCCTGGCCCGTTTGAGAGGTGTTCATGGGATTGGAGACTGCGGGGGTTTAGCTTGAATGAGCTGTTGAGTTGAAGGGCTCAACCGTCAACTCCGTGTTGGCAGCTTTATCAAGCTGGGCAGCTCTCCGAACGCCGGACGCCGAATGCATCAAAAAATGCGCTGGCTTCGCCACCGCCGAACGTGCTTTCAATATCGGTGACTGCGTCTCAGCACGATGACGTGTGCTTGCAGATGAACCGCTGTGAGTTGCAACAAAAGAGTTGCCTGTGTGATGGGTAGATGACCTGACAAAGCTGGACCTTCAAGAAAAGATGTGTGCAGTGTGCACCCTGGCTATTGATTGCTAAGACGTTCGCCTCTTCGCATCCATGTCGACGGAACGCGCTTGGCCTCCGGTCAGCTGCCGCTTTGTCCATGCACCGATTACATGTGGATATTCGGAACACAAAACCATTAATCTATATCAAAACATGTATATACGTATAATATGTAATAAGATATGGTAATATATAGGGCTTGGGATGGGTGAACAGATGAGGTTCAGGTCTCCGGAGAGCCCACTTTCGCCCTTCCACCCTCCGAGTCCAGGTGAATCCTTGTTGACCACATGCTTCCAGTTTGCCGGGAGGCGTTACAAAGCGGGCAAGGCCACCAACAGTGCCTTCCAACAACTATTCTTCTTTGGCCAGTTTCAAAACAGTGCCGCCCAGGTGAGGAACTCGTGCTCCCTGTCCCAGGAAAACCGATGCGCTAAAACCTAGATATCGCGCCCTTTCTAAATTTCGAACCTACATGTTGAATGAGGCCAAACGTATGGCGCACCAACGCCCGTCCTTCCCTGTTGCTTCGCAACCAGCCCCCAAACTTGGGTCGCATGGGCAGCTGGGCCCATGTCTGCGCTCGCTAGTAGATCTCCACACTGCTGGCAGCTCCTCCGACTCGTTCACCTGCTCAGCTGAGGCAGATGCAAAACCACCTCTGTCCTGGATTGGAAGCTTCCCGGGCTAGTAATGATGGCCAGTGACGACATGACTTAGCGTTTCCTAGTAGCGCCTTTCGTAAATCCTATATAATGTATCTCCTTCCCTGACTTTCTCGACTAAACTGGTACCAGTAAGAACCAATAATAAGATGAAGCGGAGAGGGGAGGGCAACCCCAGGGCTGGCAAGTTGGCATAACTTCGCATAACCCGATACACCTGCAACATCGTCAGCACGGCTCAGCACGGCGCCCAATGCGCACACGAGCTGAGCGCACCCCTGAAAAACCACATGACGAGATCGTACCGGTAGTCGTCAAGCTCCGTCAACACCAGATCGTGCAGTCTGCTGTCATGCTGGTGCCGTGGGGCCCATGTGAGGAAACACTTGTCGTCTTGCAGCTTGCGAGAAGCGGGTGCACAACTAAAGACGTCAACTCCGCGGAAACGTTGTGTGCATCCCAATTCCACTCAAACTATTGCAGGAGATGCGCCCATGGTCTTCGAAGCCATGCTCATGAGTGAAGTAAAAAAACCAGAACTTCGCAGACTCTGCCTCCTCGGTTTCACAGTCGGCTCTGCCTGTGAGTCAGGGCTAAAGCAAACGCCTGTTCACGATGAGTAGGGTTCCGGTCTTGGAATGAGGTAAGGCAAGTGAGCCTCCAAAAGACCAAGCAGCCAACCAAAGACAGCAGCAAGCTAAAGCGTGTGTGCGCCTTGTAGGTGAACTAGCTGCCGAAGCGCGCTGGCGGTGGCCAGCCGGGAAACCTTGCAACCCGAACATGGCTTATATGGCTTAGACGGGTCTAGGGTCTAAGCCTCAGGGTGTTTCGGGCTGGAGGGCTACAACTTCCCAGAGATGCAGAGGCCTAAGCCTAAGCCTGCCATTCATGACACGAGATGACAGCATCTGCCTGCACGCTTGCGCAGCGGACCATCTCCAGCTTCGATTGCCATCGAGCCCAAAAAGATAAAACAAAAAACTCTCACATGTAATTAAACCTCAGGACAGGTTGTCTTGATATTTCGGGTTGGCTTCTTTCTGCAATTGCTCTTGAAAGGGTAACTAGTAGAAGTGCTAGACTCTGAAACCTGACGCATTCTTGATTCCTAGTTCCCCATACTGTGGAGCTCAGGTTCGCGCAGCTTTCGCTCGAATGCGCGTGGCCACCTGGTGGCTTCTCTATTTGAAATATGGTCCTTCTGGGGCATTTGTTCAGGATTAGGGGCCGCATTGTTACAAGGACCGAAAAGGATACATTGAAGAAAAGAGCCGCGTCGGAAAGCTTTCCCTCTTCGCAAGCTTCAAGGGCTCGGGAAGACCCAAAGAATCAATTAGAAGTAAGAAGTGCCTGAGGTTTAGCACTGGATCTGTGCATGTGTACATGTTCCTTCTTGACTCCAGGCATGCCAGCTCGACCGGCCCCCGTGCTCTCTCACCTGAGCGGGCTGGGTGTAGACCGAACTCTTTCGGATTCGGAACCCCAAATATCGAAATGAACCCGCAAAGGCTGTAGCGATACGAAGAATTCGAGAAAAGGCTGAGCTTGGAGCCAAGGACGGCAGCGGCTGCACCCAGTCCTTGCACGGGATCTCTCGCCACCGAGTTTGTACAGTTCACTTCAACTCCCCGGTCTGCAGTCCGAGGAACATTCAGGGAGCCCTTTGGTCGCTTCTGCGGGAGACTGTGTAGGAGCGGAGGCTAGACGGAAGCCAGTTAAGTTGCATACATGCAATCGCAACACTTCTCCTGTAATGGTGATGCTGTAGTACTGTGTTACTGTAATTGCACAAGTACTTCTGCCAAGCTGGCTTCTGTCCCGGCAAGAGTTCAGCTTATTCGGTCGCTGCCTGTTGCTTGCATCTAGTCATGGGATTGATCCGCCGAGAAGGAGACGGAATCTTCTTTCAAGGCACTGCTTCGGACAAAAACGTGCGCGGGTGGCATCTGGCCTTGTGAGCAAAGGTTGCGGGGTGCGATGCAGAGAGTTTGTCGAAATGCTCCTTGTTTAAGGTGCTGCTAGGCTGTTCAGATCCGCCGGAGTGGCATCGGCGACATCGGTAACTACAGATTCCGCTGTTCGCGACCTTTTCCTCTGTTGATCTCTGTTGGGACAAGCAGAATGCGTCGGGTTTTGGCAGTGCTTCCTTTGCATCGCTCTCGCCAGGGTCTTCGGCGCATTTCGACTCTTGGAGTTGATGTCCACGCTATCACTGCATCTCAGGCTACATGACAGTGCTGCGCACGTTGTCCTAGAACAGGCGGGATCGTGCGCGCGCCCAAGCTGGAGGAAGCTGCGAAAAAGAAGGGATTGCAAAGGAGAACCTATCCGAGAAATGAGCCTTCAACTCTAAACCCTAGACCCTGGAGTGCCTCGATGCATCCAATACTTGTCTATCCTGTCTACAGGCGCCTGCCACTTCAAATTCCGGCTTTGCGCTTGCGTGTGCGTGAACACACCGGCGGAAAGTTGTTTGAACACCCAGGCCCATCATTGTCCTTCCACCGTGTTGGTGAGAAGGTTGCTGGGAAGGCTCGCCTGGCACATCTCAGAAGAAAGGCAGTGAGTCACGGAAGCCCTTTCCTTCCATGCTCGAGCTGGCTCCAGGTACAATGATGACATGTAATTTGCCCATTCTACAGAAAGCACCCAGGCCACAATCATATTCGCCTCGGCCTTGGCCGACGTCAGAGGAATGCTAGTCACTGTTGCCCAGCCGCCCCGCTGTTTGTTGAGAATTCGGGTTTGGCCAATTGGAGAACGGAGATATCCACGCGTTGAACATTGGGTCCTTCGGCTTAACCTACCAGGATACGGACCTTTGGGATCCGACCTTGTGTTGGGCTTGTTTTGGCAGGCCACGCCTCGACAACCTCGCCTCCCAGCCCTCTCAAAACTTGTGGAATCTCGACATCCCTTACAGGCCGACCCTACAAGCCTTTGCGTGCCGGGCCGGGGCGCATTCAAAAATGAGTCCAAGGTCCACAAGTGGAAGCTGACGCCTAAGGGCACCGCGCCTGCCCCTTGCTTCCATCGGGGAGCTCAGACATGGTGAATTCCGAGCACTGCATTGGCCTTGGCATGCGGTTGTTTTGGGGGTTCGTGAGTTCAGGATTAGTGTCAACCATTGTCGCCATATTTGCAAAAGCACATCAACAAACAAGCTGATATGCGAGCTGTGCCTGCACCTCACGCGGAGACACGCCAAAGAGCAGGCCACAGGCACAACCCCTGATTCAGCTGTACAACTTGCCTCTGCCCCTGATGTGAATTCTAACCCTCTGAAGTCCGGGCAGCTCCGACAGTGCCGTGGAGGCTGTAAGAATCAACGAGGATAGGAGCTGGCGGTCTCCCTTGAGTGGACGGGTTGTTTCACCACGACAATCTTACCCGCTAGCCTATGTGCTGCCTGATACTGGTGCAAAAGTGGAGGCGGGGCACCTTGTGGGAGACAGTCCAGGGCATAATGGATGGCTTTGGAGAAGACCTCAAAGCAGGAGAAGCAAGGGGGCTTCAACTGGACTTGCATGGCCTGATCAATAGACGATTGATCTATATTAAATGTCCAAGCTGAACACTTTGATCTCGTAGCTATGCTATGCCAACGCACATAGCTGTTTTGACTGCGACCAGGACCGTCTGTTTGGTGGACTTCATGTCCGATGCCACCACTTTCTCCACAGTCGCACCAGGCACGGACATGAGTCGTGCCTGCAAATGGGAAGCCCACTTGGCATACTGCGTCGCGTCAGGCACAGATTTTCGGTATAGATGCGTCAGTGAAGCAGGGGCCTCTCGAAGGTGGGGCAAACAACACGGCACCAATATGCATACCCTCACCTGCTCCACAGCTTCGAACACCTCAACGGCGCGCTCACTGAGCCGACCACATAGGTGGATGCCAATGACTGCAGCTGGTCGGTGGACTTGTGCAACTCTTTGGCCTAGAACTTCTGTGCAGTTCTGGGCAAGCACGTCTTGTTGCAAGTACTGGACATTAAGCATGTCTGCCCATTCGTAGTGTGGCAAAATGTCCGGGGCAACCTGATCAACCGCCGACAGGATCAGCTCTGGATAGCGAGAAGCAGCGAGCGCGCATGTTAAGGACTTGCCACAGCACAGGTCCAGGATATGCCAATCCTTTCCCTCGGCACGCAGTAGCCCAGGGCACACCTCGTAGAGTTTTTCAAGAACCGCCAAGGACTCGGACAACTCCTTGTGCAAGCTGTGTGCCTGAGCAAAGCTCCATCAAGCGCACTTAACATGATTAACATGGTTCCAATTTCTGTTGCAGGGGCCCTCTCTTTAAGGCAATCAGGTGCCGTCAGAATATTTCACAGCGGGCCTTTCAACCCAACCAACTTCTCTCTGTCTACAACTCCCCAAGTGTGCCTTGTGAAATGTGTGGAACTCTGGGCGCATCAAGGTCTCCCAGGCCTCTGGCCAGTTCTGGAAGAAGCGTCGAAGGAGCGGATTCGAGTGTCTCCCCTCCCGGTAGCGGTCCGCCAATGAAGCGACCCTTGGCCGCCGCATCAGCGCCACGCCGCAGCAAGGGCATCGCTTGTGGGCAGTCTCTTTGAGCTCTTTGTCCTCCAGGCTCCGAAGGCGGGCGGCCAGCCTGGATCCGCCGGGATGCATCGCTGCGTAGTCCGCCGCGGTGCGGAAGCTGCGGCTCTTGGCCGCAACGTCGGCGCCGTCGACTCCGCTGCCGAAGTCCAACATGCGCTCCACGACCTCCTCATAGATCTCGCCCAAGGCGCCGGCTGCCAGCATCAGAGGCGTGCAGTCCCGGCGCCGGGACCGCCTTCGCAGCCACGTCGCCGCCTTGGGGCTCTGTAACAACTCCAGGGCCCTCTCATGTTCACCAGCCTCCAGAGCAGAGAGAAGTTCATTCGGTTCATGAGAATCGCCAGAATCAGAAGGGGAGGTCTCTCCTATTTCGCCACAGGTTGCTCGCAGCACGCTTCTGCAGGGCCCTTGCAAGGGCCCAGACATGTAAGCTGGCTCAGAGCACAGGAAGGACAGGAGGCCGTAATTCACTGTCAGCGCAAACAGCTGCCGAGCAGCAAGCCTCCGCATCCCGTGCAACTAAACGCGACCTTGCAAGCATCTGCAAAAAAACATGCTGCATTGAAAATGAAGTTGCTCCTAGCCGTCTTGACCTTCAATATGGCTATGCCGAGGTTTTCTGAGCCAGGAGATGCAGATATTTGCAAGAAGCCTTCTAAAGCCGAGCAAGTCTGCAAGAATCGCCATCTCTCCAGTGCAGCAGTAGAAAAAATGGCGAAATACATCCTGAACCCTGTGCCTTCGTTTCAGAACTTGGGCTCCGACGACTGACAGCAAGAGTCCTCGGGCCAGTCTTGACGGCAGATGCGAAGCAGTGAGCAACGCGATGCTGTGCAAGGCTTGGCCCAGTTGAGCCACTTAGCCGACTTAGCCACTCAGCCCAGGGCCAGCAGGGAATCCGGCGCCTCCACAGGCTTTCCAAAACCGACTTTTGTCGAGCCCTTCAGGCTCCAAGACCCCCTAAAAACCTAGACTCCTCTAAATAAATAAACAAATATGCAATAATATGCATATATAGATATAGATTATGCCGGCGTAGACCCCAAACAGTGAGGAGGGCCAGAAAAGGCCAAAGAAGGCCAGAAGAGCACCACACTCCCGGCGACAAAAAGTACAAAAGTTCGGGGGGCCGAATTCCCTTGGGGGTCAACAAGACGCCAACCACTGGGGGATTCGCTGATGCTCCTGATGCTCAACCCCACCCATAATACTAACCCCCGGCACCCAGCCGCAGGGTTGACCCTAAACCCTAAACCCTCCTTTGTTTTTATTGATCCTGCCCCCACATGGTCTCACTGCGCGAACCGTTGCGGTCGGCAACCTAAGTGCCCCCCCCAGAAGAGGCTTGAAGAGGCCACGAGAGGCATCGAAACCAAGGCCCCGTCTCACCGCGCGCGCCGTTGCGGTCGGCAACCGAATAAGTGGCCCCCCCAGAAGAGGCCTGAAGAGGCCACGAGACACCCGGAATTTGCGCGAAACCACAGCGGGAGCATCGAAATGCAACGGAATTCGCGCGAAACCACAGCGGGAGCATCGAAACGCAACGGAACTCGCGCGAAACCACAGCGGGAGCGTCGAAGCCAAGGACCCGTCCCACCGCACGCGCCGTTGCGGTCGGCAACCAATTCCTTTACTCTGAACGTAAGAACCCCATTGTGCAAGCACTGTTTGGGGAATTTATAGATATATATGTATATATATATATATATGACCCCTTCTCTGAAAGATGGTCCCTTTTGGGGTTACTATTGTAAGGCAGCCCCCAATATTTAGGGCACCCAAAAAGCGAGCCACACCTGGACCTGGCTACGGCTCTGCGGATCCGACTGTTTCAAATTGCCTAAAGCCTGCTTGAAGCCAAAAACCACGAAAGGGCAGGCAAAGCCTTTAAAACCGGAGTGGGCCTGACCCTGCAGCTCTGTGATCTCGATTGGCGAAGGGCTTCGGGCCCCAGTGAACGGTGACGGCGTCCGCTGAGCGCGGGACCTTCTATAACGCAGCAGAGTGAGGCAATCAGTAGGCAATCCATGAGACGAATGTGCCAATTTGCTTATCTTGCCACTGCGAGCCGCAAAAGTCGCTGGTTCGTTGCAAAATGTCGCTCTCAACCACGTTTCATGCGGACAACGTGGAGTTACACGCAATGCATTGGGCGACGAAACGAACATCAGCAGGGAGAGGTGGATAGGAGGGCGACGGAGTGAAATGCTTGTGAGGGAGCCTGCTTCTTTTGAGTGCAGGATTTTGGCTACTGACCTTTCCTACTACAGGTCCGGTGTTGCCAGGGAGAAACTTTTGGCTAAGTCGCCACTACACGGAGCCTCCGCCCAAGTATTTAGAAGGAAGTTCAGAGATGCCAAGCGCTTGTAGTCTTGAATCATCATTTTACCTTTTTGGGCCTTCGAAAAGACATGGTAAACAAGAGCGACCGCGAGCTTCCCGATGATTTCATGTCGAGCCAGGTTTAGAAAAGACATCCAGTGCCTGCATTCCTTCACCGTCACAAGGCATCCTTGCTACAAAGAAGTAGCTGTAAAGTAACTGAAACCTGCACAGGCCAACCCAATTCCCGCAAGCACCGCAGCCCTAAAACTGCCCTGAAATGCCTGTGACATGGACATGGACTCCCGTCTCCACAGGCTTCAAAGTCTTGAACGACCCAGACAATCGATGGAGAATATTGGAGAATATGTTTTTCATGATAAGCATGCCTGCTTTCATGAAGAAACACGTCGCGCAGCCCCTTCACGAACGCGCAAATCTCAGAAACTTCGTGTGCTCACGCTGGCCGACACCTTACTCGCATCTTGCCAACCCTAAACTAACCTCCCCAACAACCTCGAAGAAAAAGGAATCGTTGTTGTGGTTAAAGGGGTTGTTAAGGGAAACTGAACGGAAAACAGGGTGCTGCAGAAAAGTCCGGGTACTCCATGACAACCAGATAACCAACCAGTCAGGCATGGACGGGCATCTGGTGGACGGTGTCTCCTGCGATGTGGGGGCTTCGCGGCTCGGGGTTTGCAGCTCTAGAGAATTTTGGAGTTAGGTATGGGCAAATGGCTACCAAAAACAGAAAAACAGAATATGAGCGACTTCCAAAACCGGCTGGAGGTGCTAATGGGGGCAACATCAGGGGTGTGGCTTTTCAAGTGTTCCCATCGGTTTACAGGGTTTGAGCGTCAGTTGTCCACGCTTGATGTCTGCAAGTGTTGGTTTGGGAGAATTTCAAGGCTATAGCCCACCCAACGATTCATTAAGCGAAGGGTGTTGCTTTTCAGGTGTTCCCATCGCGTTACAGGGTTTTGGGCACTCGTATCCACCCCTTACTTACTTGAATGTCTGCGAGTTTGGGAGTTTGCTCATATTGCTATGCATGTGCTATGGAAGACGTAGAACTTGCCCCGATGACTGCCGAGCCAACTTTGGTGGCTGGCCCTGCAAAGGCTTCCCGACAATGTCAGCGAAAACGACGCGCCACAAGCAGATTGGGCACTTCAGGCACCAGCAGAGGCAGCTGTGTTTTTGGTACTCTGGGCCTGCAAGTGAGACCTCAAAACTCCTACATAAGGCCCCGAACCCCTGAAATTCCCGAAAGCTACGCCCCAACCCCCAACTCCCCCCCCCAAAGGTCCACGAGCCGCTTCATCGGCCATGGCTTCTTCGGGGCCTCCCGCAGACCCTCTACTAAACAGTGAATCCCTTCTAAAGCCCCGAACGCAGGGTAACGCAGGAAGGTCAGAGGGGTTTCTGGGGGGCTTGTTCAGCGTTGAAAAAGTCATTGGGGTTTAAGGGAGTTTCAAGGGGCTGCCCGCTTTGCGGCTGTAGGGTAGGTGACTCTTTGCGACTGCGGGATTTCCGACTTCGGGGGTTGGGAGTTACGAGAGTTTACAGGAGGTGCCAGCCGAAGCGTGCCCTTTTGTGGCACCCAGCTGACCTACATCCTCAGGAAAATACGTTGGAGACACAAAAACAGGCCATCAATCCCTCGCAGAATATGAGTTTTGCATGATCGATCTCCCAATATGAGGCTGGGGCCTTGTCTGGACGCAATTGTCGCAAATGGCGGGAAGAGCACGGTCGTCGCCAAGGGGTGTCTCGGCAAGACCTGCGGATGTGAGCAGACTTGCGTTGACCCAAGGGTTTAGGGTTTGGGGTTTCGGGTTTAGGGTTCAGGGTTAGGGTTTAGGGTTTAGGGTTTGGGGTTTGGGGTTTGGGGCTTGGGGCTTGGGGTTTGGGAAGCTTCCCGAAGCTCCATAAGCCCTGAAGTTTGAGGCTCCGACCAAAAAGCATAGGAGGGAGGCTTGGTGCTGCCCCAGCCATCTTGACCGTGACACACCTGTACTTGCAGTCCATGCGGCCATTTTAAGCGTTTGCTGGGGTTGCGAGACTGTGCAATAAACCCCACCTCGAAACTGTCGAACCCTGTCAGAATTGCAGGTGGCATCCAGATATGTTGCACTCCAATAGTTCGGTCTCGTATCAGGTCGATCAAATTAAAGGGCTATCTTTAAATTTGTAAGAGTGGCAAAAAGGCTTCATCGTCGCTGCTAGCGTCGCTCGGCCATGTCTGGCTGAAGCGCACAAAATACAGCCTAAATCATCATGCCCCGTGCCCTTCGCATCCTTCAGATGATCAAGACAGGGTCTGCCTAGCAACTTTCTACAAACTGACGCTCTGAGGTAACAGATTGATGCGTCGAGGTCGGCACTTATGAGTGCCTGTCTAGAGAGGAGAGAGGCCCTCACTTGTCGCGCTGGAAAAAGACGATGAACACGGAACACAATGCTGTCATGAAGCCCATCCCCCCCATCATCAGCAGCACGGCTAGAAAGTAGATGTTCCTATTGGAGATGCACGTCCCGAGCATGTTTGAGTGACCATGGAATGCCGGGACACACCGCTGGCAAACCTCGCAATGGTGCCCGCAAAGCTCCACGTAGCGTCTCCGAGGCACACAGCATGTCCAGTGAGCCAGACCTGCGAGGTCCTTGGAGGTGGTCTTCTTACGCCAGACGAGGCACTGTGTGCAGAAGATCTCCCCGTCCTCAACCAAAAGCATGGGGAGTGAGTCCATGGGTTCCGCGCTCGCAAGCTGGCTCACAATCTTGGCGGGCAGAGGGTCCGTCGTCTCTGCCGACCTCTTGACTGTGCCAGGGTCCACAAGCATGATGGCAAGCCAACAGCCAAAGGCTACGCACGACTCCGCGATAACGAGCACAGATAACACCGAAGTCAAGGCAGAGTCGTCGTCCAGGAGGGAGATGCTACCAATCCTCAGACCACACCCACGTGCACATGCACACGCACACACACGTACACACACGAAAACGCCTCACTCTCTGCAGTCCCTAGAGGAGATTTTTGGAGGCCCAGTGCTTGTGGCACAGTACACCCTACCCTCGACGACGCTTAAAATGCTTAAAATTGGCCGGAGCACGTGGTTGCAGTAAAAGCAACAGAAGCGGCACTTCCAAGTAAAAAGCCTGTCGCCGCCTGCAGCAGCCTCTTGCGCACATTCGGCTTTGGCAATGGCCTGAGAATGCACAGACATGCACGACCGCAACTAAGGCACATTTATATAATAGTTTACATGAAATTCACCTCAACCTTGGCCGAAAGAAGTTCCGAGCGACGGCAGCTGCAAGTTGCTGGGCACTGTAGGCTGGTTAGGCTGATCCCTGGTTGCCATAGTTGAGATGGACATTGCCCCGATGGCCGCAATGGACATTGCCCCGATGGCTCAAAAGGAGGTTCGGGTGAGCCGCTGTGAGCCGCTGTGAGCCGCTTTGCCTAGATGGGCCTAGATAATCCACTTCGGTGCCTCGTTAAATGCCTCTTCTATGTTCGTTGCCCACGTCGTGTCTGGTAGCTTCGCATGCGGCAGCATCATCGTAGTGTACATTTCTAGCCACGTCAACATGTAGAGCCCGTCTGCGGGATTCCTCCTGAAACTCTGAGCTGCAAGCATCACATGTCTAGTTCGCGGCAATCTGCCAAACAAGTGCACAGAACTCAACCAAGAGGCCTCAACCCAGCAAGTGCACATGCCAGCACAGTGTGCAAGTTAGAGACTGCAAAGCCTGCAGATGCATTGAGAGAGTCTACCACAGCATGGTGTTCAGCTGCTTTTGCGACCGACTTCCACAGGCTCACTAGGCCAAAGAGCGATCACAAAAGACTACCTCACAGTTGGACAGGTATCTGCCCAGAACCTTGGCCGCGCGAGCTGGCTGAAGGAAATGCAGCTGGCTTGGCGCTGCGCGACGCAATTACAGCATCGAATACAAACCTGAGAAGCAGGCACGTTCCCAGAAGCCACCGTGCCCGACGAAAACAATTCCTGACGTCAAAGGTTGTGCAACGACGGATGGCCTGACTCGATGTTGAGCCCTTAGCCCACTAATCCCTCAGAAGAAACACTGTCTCGGGAAATCACGGGGCCCCTTACCCATCGCATTGCTTTTTGAGGTTCAGGTAATTTCTTCGGCATGGCCTGTTAAGTTGAGCTCTTTGCTCTTCCCATCCCATCTTATCCCATCTTATGGGGGGCTTCTAGCCCATACGATTCCCCTTTCATGGTGAGGGGCTGCTGGCTCATCTGAGCCTCATTTAGGGGTTCGCGCTCTTCCCATCACGGGATATATCTGTTGCTTGTTCAGGATGTTGAAATGGAAACCTGCTGTTGGGGCTTGCAGCTCTCTCTCACCATCTCTACACACTCACTGGGGATTCGCCCTCCCAGAAGCCCTTAAGCCATCAACTAATGCTTCCGAGCATCGCTGCTCCGGCCTCTGGCGGGCCTGTTCCAGGAAAGACTCGGCACGGCCCCACTGGTCCTTCGCAAGTCTTGTGGCTGCAACGCATTGTAGGGGCTTAGTAGGGCATACGGCTGTTAGCGTGCAGGGTGAAGGTGGTCTTGGCTCAGTCTAGACTTCGCTTGCGAGGGAAGTCTGGGTAGGGCTGCAACAGCTGCGGTGCTCGAAGTTAAGCGCCTCGAAGGTTTGCCCCCAAAAACCGTTGAGGGCCCAAAGCTTACACCCTACTTTCCTCCCTACCACTCGTTTCCTCCCCAGGCTGGGGCCACCATATCTCGGGGAGCTCCTCCAGACCTCGGCAGCGATCAGACTCCAATCCCACAAGTCGAGTCAGAAATTCAAACAAGAGCCAAGGCGGTCCAGGTTCCTGCCTTGATTGGCATGCGGAGGGTTTGAGTGGCTCTTCTACCGAATCGAGTATTTGTAGTGTTCCTGCACATACTGGCGAAGGACCGCACAACCTGAGCTTCTTCGACCAATGGTCGATTTGCCTGCGTGCGTGCATGTTTAGCTGCGTCATCTCGGAGCAACAACAAATCAGGCATGGGGTCACATTTGCAACAGCACGCAGCACCACGTCGCCACGCCACTTTCTTCCCTCGAGGCCACGACCCTTCCACGCCGACATCTCCTCCAGGCCGGGATGTCTTGCACGGACCTTGGATGGCCCATTCGCCCATTCCTCTCGCAGCTATCCCTAAACTACCTAAACTACCTCTCACCATTTAAAGGGCTGCAAAAGGCGGCTCGATGCAATGAGAATCCCGGCCCGTGCCATCGACCTATAGCTACAGCCTTGACATCTGAAGGCTACCAACCCTCGTGCACCACCAGCCCAAAGTCCTACACTCCACGTGCTCAGAGACACCAGCTCCGACTTGGCCGTGCCCTCGTCGCAAGGGGCACTCCATCGCTCGCTGATGGCTGCGTCCACCTCGGCATGGCCTGACGCAAAAGAAAATATAATTAAGGGGAATCATTCCGTCGCTCGGTTTTCGGCTTTCGTTTCTTTCTCATGGGCACGTGCAGGGTGTGCGTAAGAGTGGGAGTCTAGGCACTGCCTGCAAAGTGACTCATAGACCAAGGACGCCTGACTCGCCCAGCAGCAGGCCCGCCGTTTGCATGGCCCGTGTCAGCGGGCTGGTGACCACGACCTGCGCTGCACGAATGGCCTCGCCGGCGAGACCCTCCTTGGCCTCACCCGGGGCAGGTATTCCACAAGTCTCATTGGGTCCACAGGAGCAAACATCCTGCACTCAATGTTAGCCAGTCGAGCCTTGAGAGCTTGCGCCACTCCGACCTCGGTCAGTGGGTTGTCTGGCTTGTCGATGAGGGCACGGTCAACATTGTGACCAGCTTGGGCATGTCGCACGAAGGCCACCCAGTTTGGGTTGGAGGGTACCTCCTCCATGGTCTCGTACAGCTTGGGGTAGAAGGGCTCCTGGGCCGTGAAGCCCTCCAGCGTCATCAGCTCGACCCTGAACTGCTTCCATGTCCCTGGAACGGGATCGCAGCCAAGGCAAGCGCAGGAGCTGATCAGTGGCCGGTTGGCTCGCAGGATCTGCTTCACCGACTCGGTGCACACAGCTCCCTTGCCGGCCTCATCTTGCCATGGGAACTCCGGGTCCCCAAACCAGGCGCGAAGGACGTTGTCACTGCCTCCGGGAAGTAACCTGGGGATTGATCACGTCGGAACCCCAAACTACGCATCCTGTGAAATGTAGTGGGCTAAAGCTTGTGTGGGGTGTAAACCGTAGTGTATCCTTTTTAAGCCCTGCGTACATCCTTAAAATCCCTGAACCCTACGGCCCTGAACCTTGACGCTCCCAAGCAGCAGCTTCAGGTCCTCGTAGCACTGCACGATGCGGTCAGAAGCCAGCACCAAAGACCTCGGAGCGCCAGAGCCTAGGAATACGCAGGATGCCCTCATTTTGGTCAACTGGGGTTCACTATAGGGAACCTGCTGGTGGAAACCTGTATCCCCGAATCCCCGAAAGCCGAAAGCCTGAATCCTCAAGGAAGAGAAATAGGGAAAATCAAGGCAGTATTGGAGGTCCAAGAGGCGCTTCCACCGTGCAGGCTCTCAGAGCTTCGGCAGCTTCCGCCCCCTGCACCTCTCCAGCGCTTTCAAGGTTTTTGGGCTTCGGTTTTTGGGGCGGACCTTGCGGTTTAAAGTTTCTACAGGGCTGAGGACTGTTGCGTCCTTCGGGCTGAAGTAAGGTTCTCAACTCCACATTCATACGTTAAACTCGGACGGCAGTGGATCGACACCTGAGCTTCCTCAAAACCTGCTGCTTCCAAAGATTCAACCCCAAACACAAAGGCCCTTTCAAGTCCAACGTTTCTGCAGAAACAAGGTGAGACGTTCCACTGCATCGTCATGAGACAAGGTACGCGTACGTTTGCAGCATGCTTTTCTCCAGTGACACAGGCATCCCGAACCACAGCCCGAAGCCCAAAACCCTAAGCTTGCTCTTGGCACTTTTCGCTGGCCTTCAGGGCATCCTCGAGGGACAGGTAGGGCCGGAATTGAAGCACCCGCCTTGTGTTGAACATGCCAAAGTAAAAACCCATAGACCCTCATAAGCCCTTCTACAAGAAGCTCGGCTACAGGCTGCTTAAGACTAAGGGCGACAGGAGATCTACAAGTTTATCAGGCAAGCAAGTCCAGCACGCCCACAGATTCATGTTGTTCAGCAGCGGGATGGACTCTGGGCTTTCAGGAACCAGCCCATGCATTGCAGATCTCAAGGCGTGCGCAAGGCAGACTTAGCAGAAGAGGTTTCTACTGCAGGTTGGTCAACTTCTTCGTCGGGTGTAGAAGTAGAAACAAATTAAAAACCCAAAGCCCTAACCCAAGCCCAAACCCAACCACTCTTCAACGAGTATACCTGCCACAGCTTTCGCCCAGGAGCCGAGCAGCGTCTGGATCCAGGCCCATCGCTAGGAGTTCCTCAAGTGCACGTCGCTGCAAGAGTCTTGGGTTTAGGAAGGGGAACCCATTTTGGATTTCACAGTTTATACGCGCGCACACACACACACACTCACACTCACACACTCACACACTCACACACTCACACACTCACACACACACACACACACATGTGCAAACTCCGCCAGAGACGCCTCCGTAGCAATGACTTGTGGTGAAGCGGAGCAGGCGCTAGGAAGTTCGCATGTCATGACGACAGCTGTCGGTTGTTGGGGATCTACCAGCGGGCCTCGTCTTGTTTTGTCAGCTGGCCCTTACAAACAGAACGACACGACCGTATACTTGCTCAAACAAAAGTCCAGGGCCTGTCCTCCAATGCACAGCCATTCAGCTCCACAGCCATGGCAGCTGCATTTGAAAATGCCAGGTAATGCCATAGGCTTTGCGACAGCCGAATTGAATTGGCTGAGGGTTTAGGGCTGGGGGGTTGGTAGTTTAGGGTTGTCAGCTGGTCTATATCGAACACCTGCTTCGTTCCATGCTTCAACGCTGCTGATTCAGAACACGCAGCTGCAGGCCCAACCAGCACACAGGCGCTAAACCTTCTAAACTCCTAAACCCCTGCCTCCCAATCACAACCAACACAGGATCATGCTTAGGGCATAGGTACTTGACGCAGACATCGCTGGAGTTGAAACCAATTACCAGGCGCGAAAACGCTCAACATCCCTCGAATGACCAGGAACCCTAAAGCCGAAATTTTCTGGCAGCTCGACACCTCCTTTGGTTCCTCCTCCAGTGGGGCGAACAAGCCTCCTCCTTGGGAGGAGAGCGTTGCCTTGGCTGAAGGGTAGGATGTGGCAGTTGAGGGTTCAAGGTTTAGGAGAAGACATTTTTGGAGCAACCTATGTTCTGCTTGAAGGGCACAACGTGCTTGAGGTTTCGGAAGTTCACCTGTGCACTTGCAACACCTGAAACCGAAGCCCAAGCCCCCACACACTGTTTTGATTTCTGGTGTCAACACGAAAGCCCTAGTTCTGCTCCTGTCATGCGAAGAATTCCTTCCAAGCCTAGTACAGGAGCGACTGACTGACACACCGCAAGCAGAAAACAGAGCGTTCAGAGTGACTCGAGACTCGTCAGGAATTCTATGACTGACTAGGTAATTTAATGGCTGATGGGGAAACGCACCTGGTGTACTGGGCTGCTGGCGGACTCTATTCGAGTCCATGCATCCTCTGGACCTCAGCGACTGAAGAAGTCCGCTGGCAGGGTGCCCCTCACAAAAAACCCGCAAATCCAGCGGTGTGAGAAATGAAGCTTAGCCAGGCACGGGCTCCTGGATTTCCAGACATCGCATCTTGCCCATCCCCTGATAAACGGCCCACCTGAGCCCTCATGCGACATGTCGGAGCTGCTGTGCAGCCATATAATATTGGGGGTTGCCTTAACTTAGGTTCGCTCTGCTTCCAGGCATCTTTCGAATAGGATTCCTTAAAAAGGAACTTCATTTGGAGCGTAGGACCTCTAGGTGGCAGTAAAGAACAAACAGCTTGAAGTGGCAGCGCTCCAACTGAAAAAGCCTCGGGTGTTTAAATTTTCGTCTAAGCCCTAGACATGCGGTCATAAACCCTCAAAACGTCCCCGACCAGCCTTTATCAGCCCAAGCAAACCCATCCCAGTGTGTGCCTAGAGCTTACAACCCCGAACAAGCCCTACAAACCCTATCCATGAGCTCTACAAGCCCTATCAGAGCCCTATCAATCCCAAGTTGGGCTTCAAATTTCAATGCCACTCACCGAAAGCTGAGATCGCCTTTTTTGTTGCAAAGCCGGAGGTATGGCCCATCAGTCCTGGTGGAAGAAGGGGGATTTGGAGCCTGGGGGTTTTTGGGGCTTGTGGCCCAAGAGCTTGGAAGGCAAATCCCCTCCCCCACGAGCATCTTCCCCTCCACTGCACAGCATTCCGTTTCAGCACTTCTCATCTTTATAGGAACCGACTTGAAGTATGAGCTGGACTGCTGGCGTGTGAGTCTCGAGTGGAGAGCGGGCAGACCCACAAAGCTACCACGAGCACCGAGATCGAAGAGCACGAACAGCCAGATATAGCTAGTTCTATCCGAAATTCCAGCATTTGGGCTGCGTGTCTGCGCAGTCCTCTGGGACGGATGCATCCAGATCCTAGAAGCAGGGGAGGCAGCCACGGCACTATGCTACACTTCACAACCAACAAGCAAGCTGTCTCGTCTGCTGGCCTCAGGGCTGGCGTCCCAAGCATCTGTGGCCTGTGATCGTGGGCATCCGACCCCGAGAACACCACAGCCATGGCACTGCCCGCCTCCATCTCAAGCCCAGGTAGGCCTCAATGGGTTTGATTTGGTTTGATGGCATGTGCGCTTTGTGAAGTGCAGTGCTGACCAGCCAGGTCGCGACAGTCTGCTGGCTGCTGCCTCACTTCTCAGACAAGCAGCCTCGTTGCAGAAGAGGATCCACATCAGCCGAGAAGAGGGAGGTCCCTCAGATCATCAGCAACAGGACATGGCCGGGGGTTGGCGACACCACAAAACCGCCCCACCCTTGCCACCCACCCCGCTCACACCCCCCACACAAACTTTGTTTTGGCTTTTGTCCGTAACTGGAACCCTTTGTCTACTTGAAGGTTCATGGTACTTACTAACCACTTAGAACTGTACTTATAACCCTACTTAGAATACCCCTAAAGGGCCTTATTGGGGTTATCCCAATTGTAAGTAGGGTTATAAGCCCAGTTATAATTGGTTAGTAAGTACCATGAACCTCCAAGTAGCAGCCCTATGTAACGGCGCAGGCCCGCCCCCTTCTACGTCGGGGCGTGGTGTTGTGGGCATAGGTCAAAGTTGAGGGCTTCGGGCTTCCTCACCTCTGATCCCCTGGCAACCCTTTATCTGGCCCTTTCTTGCCCTGGCATGGGTCCTTTTTTAGTGTGTGGGAGCATCCCCAGCCCCCCCCACCTCCCCCCCAACGTCGGCCCCCTCTCCGGGAGTTGGTTAAAATATGTCAAAAATTATCATCCAAACAAAATCTTACCACATCCCAACCAAAAATCCTTCACAGCAGTCCGAGGCCCCTGCGGAAGCGGTGTTCGCGCCCGTACGCGCCCACCTCCGGCTGCGAGTGTTGGCAGAGGGTCCACTCATTGTGCCAAGAGCACTCGGGTTGAGAGGAATCCAGCCAGGCAAGCCCTACAAAGTACGGTTTCGGGCATCCAATTCCGCGGTCGCACTGCAAGCCATGAGTCTTAGAAATGTTCAACATACCCCTTGGGCATACCCCTTAAAGGTGTAGAGTGAACTCCTTCCTTTTCTTCTCCTTTAGAAGTTAAGGGGTGTGGGTTTGGGCATGTTGAATTCTTCGGATGAAAGAATTCCGGGTTTGCAGCATGGGCGTACGCAACTTTGCCGAGACGGGCCCTGAAAGCCTAAACCCTCAAATCGACACCTCTGGCTGGAGGGACGGCCGCAGCTGGTGGTCGAAAAAGTCCCAGTCGTGGTCGTATCGGTCCAGGTAGATATACTTGCCATCCTGTCTGAAGGTTTGGGCCTCCTCCCCCCAAACACTTGGGGACTCCTCTTTGGATAATACCCCTTGAGGATTTTATGGGGAGTTGCCCCTGGGGGGGCCCCTGGGAGGGTTGGGCCATTGAGTTTGAAGTCGCACGCAAAATATGGCACGAAAAGCTTTCCCCTAAAAAAGAGCCCGCCTGACCCCCGGGCCACTGAACCTTCTGTAAATTGGCAAAGTTGTCTTTGTAGAACGGCTATCGTACTAAGTCTAGTCTAACACTGGCTTGCACATGCTCACGCTTGGGGCGGAAACTCTGGTGGCTCACTGGGCCTTGACGAGTCTGCGAGGGATGGGCCTGCCATCCTGAATGAGCTCGTGTCTGCACCTGAACCTGATAATCGCTTCCCCCTAATACTAAAACCCCCCCTAATTTTAAATATTATTTTTCCCGGCCCTGCCGGCACCCAGCCCAATACTAAACCTGTTTGAGAATTAGGGGGGGAGGGGTCCAAGGCCTTCGCCCTTGAGTTGAGCCATTAGGGTTTCAAGGTTTAGGGTTGAAGGCTTAGGATCCAGGGCTCAGGGCTTGGAGGGTTTATAATTATTAGGTTTTGCAATTCAGGTTTTAGGATTTAGACCCGCCCTAATTTTTAAATATTTCTCGGGCCCAGGCGAATTTCAGAATTAGGGAGGGGGGGGGGGACGGATTTAGTATTAGCTCACTCCCCCCCCCCCCCCCTGCCTCCCTGCCCCCCCCGCTTGTTGGCCCCCTGTCCCTTCCAGGCCCCTGGGCTACCGTGCCGGGCTGAGGTGTTTGCGATGCGTTCGGCGTGTTTAAGCTTGGGGGGCCCTGAGTCGCCCACCAGGCTCACGCCACTGACGCAGCAAAGTACCAGGTCCCCCAGCTGCACGTCCTTGCGGCCATTTCGGGTGTTGGGCTTGATTCACGCTTTGGAGCTTGTAGGCTTGGGGTTCGGGATTCGCGCGGGGGTCTTCCATTTGATTCTTGGGTTTTGCAGGTTGCTGGGGTTGAGGCTTAGGCAATCGAGAGCTCCACATGTATCGGATTGTTCTTGCGGCTTGAAACTTCAGCTGTATATGATTAGTTTTCTCGTTTATAGTCATGAAGTGAAGTGCAGCGAAATTGAATATTGAACAAGTGCCACTTGGAGTTGGTAGCAGTTCTAGCTTTTCCCCAACCCTCACACCAGCTCTACCACAACCACTGGCACCAGATCCACCAGCACCGGCACCCCCACGACCCACCACCATCCTTCGCCCTTAACCTTGCAATCTCAAAAAGCCCTTCGTAAAGGCTCCAATACATGGCGCGAGGCGCCTGTTTGTTCGGGTGGCCTACAGTAGCCCAGAAAAGCCCACAGCAAGCCTTGAAGCGTCTCAGAGCTCCAGGTGTGGAGACCATGCCGACGCGCCCGGCATTCAGCTTCAGCAGCAGCTTGCTGGCCGGGTGTCAGAGCTGCGTCTTGAAGGGTGGGGGAGGGCGGGGGTCGCGTGGGTTTCAAGATGTTCCATATTTAACCTGGAGTCGTGAGAAGCTTTTTGCACGTTTGTAGGGGTCTTCGGGCAGCAGAGGTGGATCATCCTGCAAGTTTGCTGCAAATGCCTTCTGTGACCAACTGAGTGCGAGGGAGGATCATGCCCTGAGTTTCGAGAAGGCCTCATGGCTAAAGCCTAGAGGCCTTCCCTTCGAATCAGGACGTCGATGCCAACGCCGCGTCACGTGCCGACAACAATCCCTGAATCCCTGAATCCCTAAACGCAAAAGCCCAGAACGTCAGAGATCCGAACAGCCCCTTTCAGTCGTGCTTCCCCTCACGGTAACCAGAGGCAGCATGACTCG